TATATATATATATATTAGGTTGGGGAAAAAGAAATCCATTATTTTTATATGAACAATAGGCCAAATATGCACCGTTTTGTTGTATGATTTGTTGCCATTTTAAAGGTAACTTCATAGAAGTCCTGCTTTCTATTTACAAAAAACTCTAGTAGTCGATATCATTAAATATTATAATCGCTTGGTGCCAAATCCGAACTGTATGGCGGAGGCATTAAAACTTCCCAACCAAGCTCCCGAAGATTTTGGCGAGTCACTGTAAATGTGTGTCCTAGCGTTGTTCTGGTGGAACACGACACCTCTCCTGTTGGCCACTTCTGGCCGTTTCTGGTCATTTGCTATCTTCAAACGGTCCTGTTGTTGACATCAGAATTTAACGTTCGGTCATATGGAAGCAACTCATAATAAATAATCACATTCCAGTCCCACCAAAATCATAGCAGAACCTTCCTGGCCGTTAGTCCTGGTTTGACCGCCGTTTGAGGTGCTTCATCGCTTTTTGACCACGATGGTTTTTACACAGAGTTATCGCATGTGAACCATTTCTAATCTCCAGTCACCATCTGTTTAAGAAATGAGTCTATCTCATTCCATTTGGCCAAGTCTTCGCAGAGGGCAATTGGATCCATTCAATTTTTTCTGTTAATTGGCGTGGCACCCAAACATCGAACTTCTTTTTTGGAATCCAGCTTTGTGTAAATGGTTTAAAACAGTTTTATAATCGATTTTTAGCTCCTGGGCGATGTTACGAGCCTAATGGATTTATTTTTCCCCAACCTAATAACTATCGTTTAGGCGTCTGTAGTAATCGATCCCAAAGATTCAATTCATAGGTGTTCTCATGAATTGAACATAGCCCGAAATTTATATTTGTATTTTTATTATCTCAATGATTTTCAAAATCAAAATAAATTTGATATCATCTACACCCGATTTGAGATCTTATTACTTCATCACAGCCAATTCGTAAAATGTAATTTCCACCAACAGTGCAACCAAACCAAATTGACAACATTTTAATTAATCTCGATTTGTTTGTTAATATCTTCCAATGGCATGTTTTGGTGTTCCAAAACTTCAAGTCAAATGACATTGGACAAGACTAAAAACGTCATTGCGACACCTGTCTTTAGCTGTTGTTGTTTTGGCATTCAACTATGAATTTGGTCATAGCCGAATGACAGCTTGTTTTTGGCCAACAAGTCATTTACAGTTATAACTTAATTGCTAATAACGGTTATGTTTACGGTGCTTGTAATGAAGTTCAGTGGTGTTCAAAAAAGAAACAAAAACAAAATAATGTAAGAACAAGAAATCTGCTAAAGTTTTTTTTCGCAGATTACAATCATCACACACATACATACATAGATACATTTTTAATCAATTGGTATTTCTTTGTGGGATGTACTGCTGCCCCGACTACTTGACTGTTCAATTACACAGACCATTAATTTCCAATCGCCTCTATGAGCATTAAAAACAAATCATAATCAGACGTATGTAAATGCGGCATTTGAATATTCCGCAGCTGCAGTTTCGCTGATTTGTCGCCCAGTACGATTGGTGATATTAGTTTCTGAAGGTGTAGTGCTCTACCTCTCTTATATGTGAATATGGAGGCAAGTGCATCCAATACGCATTAGTTTGACGTTTATTGATTAACGAAGTTTTGTAAAACGAAATAATTTGCATTTATTAACATTTGATTACCGATACGAATATCGAGTCAATGTTGAACTAATTAAAATTCTCAGTGTTGGTTGTTTTTGGATATCGTATGTTCAAGGATATTCATAATGGATATTCGGAGCATTGGTATGTGGTGGGCCACAAACAACAACTTGTTTCAATTTATTATTTATTGGATAATGACTAAGTGTCAAATATGTATATTTTGTTCGTATGAATGTTACAGAAAACAAATCTCGGTGGTATACCTTGACATATTCAAATCATGTTGGACAGTAATAAATGTATATTAAATTAGACAATATTAAGAAATAAATTATATTATCTTTACATGGAATGTTTCTGCTGTTAAAAAAGTTTTTTTTGCAATTAAATTTTTTAGAATCATAAATAACTATAATTGCGAGGTTGAGTTAACGTGGCAAAGACCAATAGGCCTATTCTGTAACTTTTAACAACATTCGATATTTTTTAATTTTCTTTCGTTATTGTAAAAACAACAAAGCAAACAAATGAAATTGTTGTAAAAAGTTATGAATATGCCTACAGGTTTGTCTGGGTCCCTCTTTCATCTTAATTGTGGACACTGACCTCACCGCGCTGTCACTTTCATCATCCGATAAAATAGCGAGCTGATATCTGCCTCGAATTCACCCATAAGAAATATAAGAAATGGGTTGAGGCATCAGGTTAGTTGCCCACACTCGAAAAACCCGTCTCACTACGAAAAAGCAACGAAAAAGAAAACCAAATCCCCAATGTCGACGACCCCCGCAAACGTATAAAGGATCACGGTCTGCAAATCTGCACTTGAAATGTGCACACGTTGTACAGAACGCAGTTTTCGGTTTGGAGGATGTACTCAGGAAGTATAAAGCCGACATTATTGCCTTACAGGAAATGTGATGGAAAGGGACTGGCGTAAGTAAATCAGATGATTATGCCCTGTATTATAGCTGCCATGAAACGAGATATGAATTTGGCTGCGGATTTTTGGTTAATAGAAGAATAAAAGATGTCGTCTCCAGATTCACTTCAGTAGATGAGCGAATTGCTATAATCCGTATAAAAGCAAAGTTCTTCTACATCGGTCTTATTCGCGCCCTTGCTCCTACGGAAGACAAATATGAACAGACCAAAGACATTTTTTACGAGCGCCTAGAAACATCATATGGCCGCTGCCCCGGCTATGACATTAAAATTCTGGAGATTTTAATTCAAAAATCGGAAGGGAAAATATTTTTGGTCCCACCGTCGGAAAATTCAGCCTCCATGAAGAAACATCCGAAAACGGGATGAGGTTGATTGACTTCGCGGCAGTAAAAACATTCATTGAAGAAAGGCATTCATCCAGTATTTTAGACAGCCAAGCTTCGCACCTGTCTTAATGTAACACGGACGTCGAATAGCTGCAAACACAACAGTTAGCTGAAGCCTACTCCGCTCAGACAGCGTATTAAGGATCTGGAAGGAGCATTTTGCAACGCTTCTAGTTTTAAATAGAAACAGTGAAGAAGATACCCCAGAACCAATAATAAATGACGGTATACATTGTATGTCACCTAGCCATGATGAGGTCAGAATAGCAATTAATCGGCTGAAGAATAATAAAGCAGCAGGAGCCGAAATCATTTTAATGCTCGGCTTATGGAACAACCGTTCTGTCACAAGCCAGCTAACTAAACTAAGTATTTGGACGGTCCTAAACACATTTTTCAACCAAAGATACTATAATATGACATACATGGCTTTCGGAAGGAAAATTAGAAACTTCTTCGCAGTAAAATTTCCTTTTGATATAGACCCCATATAACGGGTCACTTCATGTTTGGTATTTTTAGTCACATTTCCAACCGTAGTGGTATTAATTTCGCATTCCAATTGCCGAACGGTTATGTCAAATTTCAGCAATTAACCTGTGGTCAATATCAAGGAAATTTTCTATTTATAAAGAATAGTCACAACAAATTTAACCATAAGTTTGAGAAAAAGAAGCAGGAAAGTATGAAATTCGATTTGAAAGTCACTTTTAGTGGCACACTTTTGTAGCAAAAAAAATATGAACTTTTTGTGTGGGTACCTTTGACATTTGAAAAGTCATAGGTCGCATACAAATTCTAAACGATCTTATGCCATATTAGCGCCTTACACACAATAATTCATAATTTCGTTATATAAAATGGGGAATAACCTATAAACATTGTTACGATACGAAACCCGAATAGAGTCAAGCTAAGGTCACCGATATCAACCTTATAATTAAAATGTTCACGACAATGTAGTTGCAGTGGAGGGCTAATAATGCAGTTTAAATAATTTACATTTCATTGTAATCAAATTGAAGTGACATTTAAAAATTGAAATAAGCTTTGAAATCCGATAATTATGTCGGTACATGCCCCATATATTTCACTTTATTTCACAAAGTCTGTGAAATAAAGTTCCGAATTGTTGAATTGAATAAATTCCATAAAAAATCCATATCCAAAAGTATGTTCTAAAACTTCACCCCAAGTTAAAGGTCTAAATCAACAACATTTACACAGCACAAATAAATTTACCATATTACAAATAGAATTTTGAAATTGTCGATCTCATTAAAACGTGCATCTGTATGTAAATATGTTTAATTAAATATCCAATAAAATTACATTTCAACAGGTTTTCTGCGTTATATTGCCGAATACTTATTATTACGTTTTCATATTCGTAATGTTTTAAATTCACATTCAGAACACACGATGCCAATCATTTAAATGCAATACTAATTTTTAATAACTCACAAAAAGTTTTTTTTTTTTGCTTATTTCAATACCGGTGAATGTTTAATTAGCTCTTATTTTTAATCGTTTGTTTAGTTCTCACTCTTGTTTGCATGACATACGGAATCCGACTAAAAAATCTACTCTCCTAAAATGCTGTTAAAAATAATACTCCAAAGATCTTCGTCAAACGTCAATCTAAACAAATTCGGAAATAACTGATTGGACTTCTCTCGACAAGTACTGTTAACTTCTAAGATTCTAAAACACACACGCACACAGTTACGTTAACAAAGCTGATCACTCGCTCGATCGCTTGTTTGGCTGGCTGGACTTCGCCATGAATGAATGCAGTCTAACAACAGCGAAACAGACACAAAAACATTGGTATTAAACAACTAACTCGGGCTTTGAAATCTTCAGTTTGAGTTCCAAATAAGTACGCGCAAGATGTTAACGTTATACGGTGTCTGCGATTCGCGGTTATATTCCTTTTGCGCATTCGCGTTTATCACGATTTTTTTGATTTTACTCAATCCGTTTGTGTCCGAAGGCCGAACATCGCCACAGTTAAAAGTTCAACTACCACATGGAGGAATATTGGTGGGACGTCACCTAATAACGAATAAAGGTCGTCATATGCGAGCATTTATGGGTGTCCCATACGCAGAACCTCCTGTGGGAAAATTACGTTTTAAGGTCTGCAAAATGTGTATATACATATGTGTGAATTTTGTGCAATGTTTATCTAAGTACAGTTCATGTTGATGAATAATTTGTGAAAATTATCTTTCCAATAACAACCAAACAGTGTTTCAAGATGTGTCATTTATAAAATGACAATCAAGAGAAAATAATTTCTAATATCCAAAAAAAAAAAACACGATTAAAAGCTCTAAGCTGGTTCTTCGTATTAATTTATAAATATTTTTTTATAATTGTGAGCGTGATTTGCACCAAAAAATTTTAAATCACATGTTATATTTTGGACATCGATGCGGTTTAATCACAAGTTATGACAAAAAAAATTAAATTTCTTTTAATGACATTTTTCACAAATTCGCATATTTAACTGTAAAGTATTGAAGTCGTGATCTATTTAAATAAAAATATTTAATTTAAATGACAACTTTGGTTAAGAATATTACTTTGCGGCTGTGACATTATGATTCAAAAAACAAGAAAATTAGATTTTAAGAAAATACCCGCTTTAAAATTGCGGCAGATATTTTAAAGAACGCTTTTTTTGGGATTTAGAATTTTGGAAACTGTTAAAAAACATATTGTTATGTTCGAAGTAAAATATTCGATAAGAATATGTAACTTAATCGTGAACATTTTAGACAACTTCAGAAGTTCTGGCAAAAGGATCGTGTGGTCAAAAGCAATTAAAAAGAAATGTCCAGCTTTTTGGAAGAACCTAATATGTTTTTGAACAAAATCTACACAATAAATTTTGGAATATATAAAATTTTTAAATATCTACAACATAGCCTTGTAAAACTTTTGCTAACAGTCGTCCGATGCAAAACCTGCAAAAAATCTTCTATTAATTTCCTGATTCCATTTTATACTTTTTGTGTAAATTTGAAAACGTTGACTAGTTTTTTTTTTTTTGTGCGGTAAAAATGCGTTATATTCGGACAGTTACTTGAAATGAAAATATATGGAACAGACCAAAACGTAGAACTATACCAACAATTGTACTTCATGCTAAATATTAAAAATAACGAAAAATTGGGGCTAAATGCCGACCGCTTACAAAGATGACCGACGGTAGAATGATTACAATAGATGGCTAAATCGTCCCAGAATTCCATACTTTCGGGACAGACCTAAAACGCGGAACAAATCAGTTAACTATTTTAATACAAACCAGTAAGGAAAATACTAAAGTCGGACGGGGCCGACTATATGATACGCTTTACCATTCAAGATATGTATCCAAACAGACATCGCATTTTTGAAAGACCATTGACATGAAATTGGAGACCATTGATTAGAAATTAAATATGTGATCTCTGTCTATATGTGAACCGACTTAAGCCTACGATCAATAACCGGATATATTTATACCTTTTTATACACTCCATCATAGTATGGAGGGTATATTAAGTTGGTTTTTCTGTTGCAATCACTCTAGCCTCTAAACGAATTGAGATAGATCGCCTAAATTTTAAATAGATCGAAGTTGACCTATATCGGTTCAAGTTTAGGCATAGTTCCCCTACCCCCCATTTTCGATATTTTGGCGTTTTTGAGCGCGCTATTCCAGCGAATTCGCTGAAATTTGGTACACTGGCTTCTTATTGGGTACCAAATGTCTCTACTAAATATTATGAATATCGGTCCACTCTTACTTTCATTCCAGACATAATTCAATACGCTGTGTAAAATTTCGTGTAAATCGATAGATATATATTTTTGATTCACCATTTACATTAAATCGGACGAAAATATATATGGGAGCTACCCAATGGGGCTACCCGAAAAATTGACATATATTTATAATTTTTGTGGAGGGATTTGCTACCCAAAAAAAACTTAGTGTACTAAATTACAGTCAACTCAGCCGACAAATACGCTCAAAACCCCCAAAATAGTGAAAATTTAGGGTACCGTTATATGGGCGCTACCCGAAAAAGTGGACCTATATTTATAATTTTCGGTGGGGAAATTTGGTACCCAATAATAACCCCATTTGCCAAATTTCAGCGAATTCAGTTGAAAATCGCCCTCAAAGATATGCAAAATTTTGGCAATCTATCTCAATTCGCTTAGAGGCTGATATAAATAAATACGAAATTACAAATCCGGTTGGGAAACTGGGTGAGGTACTTTCCGAAAATTAAGCTTTTTTGTAAATTAACCAGAAATGTTGGTTACAACCACTTTGTGGGGATATTCGACTAAAACTTATCAAATGCCGAAAATGAGTGGGATCTTACAAGGCATGGACATACATTGAGAAATTTCTGCATAGATGTTTTTCAACCTACAAGAACATTGAATGTTTTGTCCCGCTTTAATGGACATATATAGAAAATTTCCTACAAACAATCGTCCAGAAATTCTGAATGCCAAATTGCTGTCAAATTACTGGGAATATGACGTTAAAACCTTCGAAATACCCTTGATATGTACCACACTCTAAAATTCGAAATGATTACTTAAAAATATTTTTTTGGACTCATTATGCTATAAAAATAACATCGACTATATACATTTATTTCTTATATTTTCAGCCACCCGTTCCATATCGTGCATGGAGTGGAGAAAAGCAAGCGATAGAAGATTCTCCAAAATGTACACAACGTGATCCCTTTCGACGGGATATGGAAATAGAAGGCAGTGAAGATTGTTTATACATAAATGTCTATACACCAGAGGTATTGTTGCACCGGTTTACTATATATCGATTCTCATGGAATAAAATGTTAAACAATTTACATTTTGTTGAAAGGTACCCAATACCAAAGAAACTTTACCGGTTATGGTTTGGTTCCATGGCGGTGGCTGGGAATGTGGTTCAGGTATTAGCAGTTTTTATGGTCCCGAATTTTTGCTTAACCACGATATTATTTTGGTATCGGCCAATTTCCGTTTGGGTCCACTTGGATTTTTAAGTACTGAAACATTGGACTGTCCTGGTAATTTTGGATTAAAGGATCAATTGGAAGTATTGAAATGGATACAGACAAACATAGCGGCATTCGGCGGTAATCCGAAGAGTGTTACGATTTTTGGCGAAAGTGCAGGTGGTGCAAGTGTTACCTATCACATGTTGTCGGACAAATCCAAAGGTTTATTCCACAAAGGAATTGCCCAATCCGGAACATATTTCAATCCATGGGCACAGCCAGCCCATAAAGGTGTACCCGCACAAAGAGCAAAGAAAATGGCCAAACTTTTGGGTTGTCCAAGTGACGGCAATTGGTCGAAAATGTTAGATTGCCTAAGAGAGAAGCCGGCAAATGATGTGGTGTCCACAATTTATGATTTGTTTGTAAGTAAAAATAACATTGTCATGAAGCAATGCAGGACATTGGATTGTTGATGGTGATTTTATTCCCTAGGAATGGGATTTCGATCCCATGATACCATTTCCACCTGTCGTGGAACCAGAACATCCAGATGCCTTCCTAACCATTCTCCCACGAGCTGCTCCACCGCCACATGGCTTGAAACTGCCGCTTATGATTGGAGCCACGTCCGAAGAGGGTCTCTTAAAAACAGCTGCACTTTTAAATCTACCTCATGTGTTGAATGATTTTAAAGCCAAATTTGATAAAGTGCTACCAATCATTCTAAACTACGACCACTTAAAGGAATCAGAACAACAGGAGATCAATCAAAAACTGCAAGAATTCTATCTTAAAAATGGTCATGATTATGATAAATTCAATCATCAAAATATAACCGATGTAAGCTAGCCAATGAAAATCTTCGTTACTAAGCCTTAATTTGGATCCCTCTTTCATTGCAGTTAATATCGGATGGCTGGTTCATTGCCGGCATTGACGAATATATACGTTTGCGAATACAAAACCTCAAGAACTATCCGCAGAGTGTTGGTCCAACATTTGTTTATTTATTCGAACATAAAGGTGCTGCAAGTTTCTCGGAATTATTTAAAGGAGGTCGTGAAGATTATTATGGTAATTTAACAAAAAAAATTAGTAATATTTTTTGAGATTTTAAATTGACAAAACATAAGTTTGGGGCTGGCTTGGTCAAAATATTACAAAATCGAACTATCCGATTGCGCATGCTATTACAAAACTAATTTTCCAACACTTCGATGTGGTACATTTTTGCCGTAGTAAAGTGTGTATAGGTAATAGGTTCCCAACACCGAATAGTAAGTATATTTCAGAACATCGTTGAATTCAAATGCAAATAACTCAGTGACTACTTAACCAAATATGGTTCGAGGGAAGATGTAGTAGACCTAACTTAAGAAGAATCAAATATTTTGAAAGCGATTTAAACTTAGTCAATTGTTTTACATGGTGAATATTTTTTAAATGACATGAATCTCAAAACACATATGTTTATATTTTAAGTTTTTCAATCATAATTAATTTCATCACAGTTATCTCATGAAACTGTGCCACCACAGCCTGAAACAGAAAAAAATCTCTTAAAATACATTTCATACAGACCTAACATTACTGGCCTTTATCAAAATAAGTAAACCCAACGAGGTACAATACTCATGATTTATATGATATTCATATTAGGTGCCTGTCATGCCGAAGAATTGCAATATTTATTCCCTATTGCCCATAGCCTTTTTGTTAGCGCATCGCCCACGGAAAATGACTTGAATGTAAGAGAGATTATGCTTGAATTGTGGGTTAATTTTGCTAAAACAAGGTAAGACAATATATAATGAAGTTTGCAAAAATTAGAGCATCACATTTTTAAAATCCAAAATTTGTAGTAATCCAACACCTGCCGAATCGAATCTGTCCACGTGGAAACCCGCTGAAACCTACCCTGTAACATTTGCCAAAATTGGTAGTAAAAATGAAGATGAAAAGATTCTGCTTAGATATGACAAAGAACTGTATCAACAAAGAGTGGATTTTTGGAACAAACTCAAACCTCACGTCCCAGCCCAGGAATTCAAACTGCATGATGAACTGTGATTAGATGTTGAACTTAAAAATAAACAAAAATGAAGTTAAAAATAAAACATGTTGTTAATTTTTATTACTTTGTTTATTATGTATTATTCACTTTTTTTAATTTGTATTTTATTATTAAGTTTTTTTTTTCATTTAGCAATTGTACCTATTATCTATAAAGTTCTGTTCTCTGTATTTTTTATAATTATTTTTTTTTGTTTGTTTTTGCATTTATACGTTTACATCATTCGAATTTACTATTAAATAGAGATTTGTTTTGGTTTTTTGTTTAATAAAATTTAGCATTATTATTAATTGGTATTGACTTGACTCTTATGAATTGTTTAGTTTATTTTCGCTTAGTTCGAAGTAATTGGTTTTTAAATGTCAACAAGTAAAATCATATTAAGATAAGAAGTGGTTTATAAATTATACCGTAATTTTGAAAATAAAACTGACTACGGATTGCTTGATTGACACAATGAAATGTAAATTACAACAAATCGCGGTAGATAATTCCATAAGCATTTTGAACTACATCTATTTATATATAGAAATTTTGAATACAACAAAAGAAATAATAATTTTTGTGGTCACATACTATTTGTAAAATAAAAGTTTTATGTTGAAATACAAAATGTACACACGTGACCATGTCGGAGACTCATTACAATAAAATGTTTTTGCTTATGGAAGGGAGGAAAATAATTAATGAAAACGGACATATAATCTGATGTGATATTTGACACTGGGATATTGAAAAATCCTAAACAGTGGATGTTATTTAAAAATTATTACGTCAAATTTAAATTTGTTTATAAATAAAAATAAATAAATAAAATAGTTATATAAATTAAGTAAAATAAAGCATCTCTTGTTGTTTTTCTTTTGATCTTTTTTCTTCGTATATGGATCTGTGTTTTGAGAGTGATTGAGTGTATCCATGTGTGGGTGTGTGAGTTCATTGACATTCACAATGCCACATATCTGCGTTGTCTATTTTGTAGTATTCAGTAGGATAGGTAAATAGTACATATATGTATTTATAATAAATATAAAAGTGTGATTTGTTGTATTTGCTTTTATATATTATGGTTTGTTTTTTGTTTTTGCTTTTGTTGGTAATTACATTCATGATAGATTTTTAGGTTATAATCTACACACAAGTAAACAAAATAATCAATAAATAATAACGATGTTCAATATAATAAATATATATATTTCTTACGTAGATAATTACAACAGTTCCAAACGTAGTTGGATGTTACAGGGGTATAGCTTTAGGTGGCGTTAAATATTAAACAAAAAAAAAACACTAAAATAAAATTAAAAAAACAACAATTATAAAACATAACACAAACATTTTCTTTCGTTTCATGAAATTCTCATCATACATTTAGTGTTTATTTTTCAAACAGAGGGCGGGCGTAGGAAAGATGTCAACGGCCAAGAATTAATTGGACATTATGCTAATTGTTTTGTTTCGCTTAAGAAATACTTGCAGCAAGAAAGATAAACGTATAAAATTGCTCTCAAAAATATATGCACTTTTTTCTTGTTTCTACATCTTTGTTTTTGTTATCTTCTCTATTAACTAGCCGTCGTATGTATAAACTGAAAATTGTCTTTCATCATTTGGTGTACCATCATTCTCAAAGACTGAATGATTAACACTCCTTCCTCTCTATAGTTTGTCATTAGTTTCATATATATTTATATGGGTGTCTGTGTAGTTGTTATAAATATTAGCATCATGATGCAAATAAATAATATTGTTACATGTATATATTTATATAGCTCCTATCAGTCACATACGTTTCGTTTCAAACGTTAATCATCATTGTATGTGTTGTTGTTGTGGTTGATTTGTAAGTAATTTCAGTTGTATCTTCTAATAAATTTTGTTCTTATATGCTTATTTCTTCATCTGACTACATACATACATTTATGTATGCATGGGTACCCGTAATTGATTTGCCAAAATCCAAAAAATGGAACACAAATATATCTAACATTTGTTGTTGTTGTGTCTGTTTCTTTGTTTGTTTTTCATTTCAGTATATAAAATCAATAAAACATTGCATGTGTGTTGTTTTTGTTTTGTTTTTCTTTCACACAAACAAACGCTATAATATAAATAATTTTAAAAAGCCTGTTTAATATAGCCAAAAGCGTTATTACGGTTATACTCTGCTTAATATGTGGCGTGTATGTATATTTTCTATTTACTTAAAACAAATAAAATAGCTTGCATTGATTTATGTTTCTATGTATACAACACTCCCTATGCCTTTTACAACAAATAATAACAATTTAATAAATACAATATAAAAAATAGATTTAAAAACAAAATAGAAACTTTACCAAACTGATTGAATCGAAACATCATATAAAACATAAATAACATATATGTTATTAGTCCATCTTTGAAACACATGTCCTGTGTTCCATATGCTTCAGCATTTACATAGATGCATACACCCACAAATTATATAAAACTGCAAACTACATGTTGTGTTAGATGTTCTTCTTCGTATTGCAGTTGATTCGTCAGTAAATAATTTTGTTAAAATGTTTGAGATGTTGTCGCAGAGAAAATCCGTGATAAAAATATTCTAGTATAACTCTGAAGAAAATTTCCTACATTTATTTACGCACGCTCATAGAATAATATATAGGCACTGGACGAAACAAGATGATGCTCAGACAATGATTCGCTTACACTGTAAAATAAAAATGCAAAAGTTTCTCGTTAGCACTATTGACATGAAAACAGATATTGCGAATAACTTACAGGTTATCGTTAAACTCATGCCATTTCTTTGAGACAGGATGTTTGCAAATAGCGACATAATGACCACCTGCCGTTGAGCCTGAAAGACATGTGAAATTTAGTACACGAATATATTAAGTATATGAGTTTAGCGATTTAACGGCTAATGAAAAGTCGTCGTGATACCAACACATTTTGTCCAAAAAATTATTTTCCAAAACAATTTTAATAAAAACTATCCTGAATTTTGGGACTACATTGTCTGAAATGCAGAACTAAAAGATAAAATTCTAATCTAAAACAAAAATGAGGTAGATCACCGCTTCGGATGTTTTCTTAGACAGTCGAATGCGGTTATAACGAACTTGAAGAGACCGAACATACATTTGTAATGAAATTGGAAAAACTTCAATGGAAACATAAAGTACAGATATAACTTATTTATAATAATCAGCATTTTTTTAGTTCATAATAAACTTTGAAACGTTAGTTAAAATTAGCTGTGTGGGTCACAGGAACTATTTCGCTTTAAGAAAATATAACCGTGTTCGTTATTAACCTCGTGTTTTATACGTAAAATAGGTAAAACGTTATTGGGGCCGGAGAAAATAATTCGGTATTCGCATCGTTCGTTATAACAAGTGTTCATGAGAACTTTCTGTCTGTATTGTGTGAATTGTGAATTTTTGTTAAATTTTTTCATTTGACAATAAAAACAAGGACTAATATCTACTATTGATGGAAGTTGGTAACTAAATATTATAATTACACATTGAACATATTTATGAACTTACCCATATGGTTTGAAATGGCATAAAGTGAAAAGTACATATTTGAATTGGCATTCGCACCATAAGGACCCATATTTAATTCTCGTTCTCCGGTTGGAAATTCAACAATATTGGACAATTTGCTCCAACGTGTCTCAGAAAATCGTTTCAAATCTAATAATGCATAAATATACATAGGTAAGGACATGAACAAGATATTAAGTTTTTTTTTATTTTCACTTACGTATAACAAGATATTTTGGAAATCGTTGAATAGTAAAAGACTTCGTACATTTTCTTCTTGTTTGGCATTTAGAACAAGTTGGCATTTCATCACCGTCTAATACCTCCTCTCTTATAAATAAATCAAGACAGGCTTCTAATTTGCAACGTGACGATGACGGCAATGGCACACTTAAATCCCAAAAGGGATCAAAAGTAACACTGGTATTGCCACAGGTGGTACAGCGTAGTGTACTCTTCAATTGGCCCACAAACAAATCACGTATGAGAGAGTTTTCCAAACGGCTATACCACTCCCATGTTAGTTCGGCCTTTTTATTGTCACTGCAACCAAAAACGTTTATTTTACATATCATCCACTGCCACATACATAAATGAATGCAGTGTAACTTACCTTAAGTTATCATCTATTTTGAGAACTTCGCCTTTAACGCCAGTATTCAATGCACAATGCAGCGAATCCAAAAAGAAACGTAGGAATTCTTGAGCATCCTGTTGATTATAATCACTGTACATACGATGCTTGGCCGAGAAGGACCTCTTCAATTCCATAGGAGTTACGCTATGTACATTGTTTGTCCACATTTCTTTGATAAGTTTGGAGAATTCTGTAAGAGAGACATTTGTGCGGTAAAATGGTAAAATGCATGCATCTTATGCTTCTTTAAACACACTCACCATATAAGATCTGTTGATCCTTTGAAGTTGGCGATTTAGTGGCATTGTAATTCCGTAGAAATTTCGTTAATTCATTTGTGTGGCTAAGACACTGTATGACGGAATTCATAAAACACGTATTTCCAATATTTCTCAGTCCACATAAACCTAAAATACATAGAAACAACACATTTAGTATCAATTTTTTCACGTTTGCTGCCTATGGATTCATCAGACCTGCATATCTATAAATCATCAGACCTAATATCTATAAATCATTCAATTGAATTTCTTAATAAAACATGTACAATTATTACGAAAATAGTTCTGAATTCTACATTAATTTTGTAAATGACAATTTAAAATTATATCAAAAATATTGATGAGGAGAATAGTGTTGTAAAATTTATTTGAATTTTCCTTTAATATCTTTCCCATGGTACAATTATAAAAGGTAACAGCAAGTCCCAGCTGATTTGATTCCAACGTAACACTAGTGTCAATATGAATTTGACAAATTATCTTTTTAAAAATCACCCAACAGGAAAATTGGGAACGCATACAATTTGAAATTGTTCTTTATTGAATGTGTTCCCGTATTCAATTTACTCAATCTGCCTGCTGGGAAAGTTTGAGGGAGCAAATCTTTATTCATTGAATAACTCTCAATTCCCTGCATTTTCATATGTGTTACACATGTAAGTGGCAATGGCTCAATTATAGGAAAGATGTGGAAGTGATAGAAATATAAATTTGATAGATTTTCATTCATGTTTTTCAAATTTTATTTTGAGGATTCGAAAATATTTCATTTTCAAAATAAATATAATTTATTTGTTTGTTTACATTTTTCTGTCAAATAACGTGACACTAGTATAACTTACAAAAACAAATTTTCATGTGGTTGTTGTATCGTTTGTTGTACAACAACACTTGATGTTACCTTCTATTATTATACCATGTATCTTTCCCAAAGAAGAATAAACCAAAGTTTACACAGTACAAATTATTTCGATAAGTGTGATGTTGTAATGTATTTGATTTGCCAGATTTAGTCTTAATTGCAATGTCAGACAAAATCGTGGTCATGGTCTAGGTGTGGAAATTTGCTATAGGGGATGAAAGACCTTGATGGGTATCTCAAGAATGAATTGGCGGCAAAAAGCGTATATTAGGTAAAGATGTGTAATGTTACTTAAAACATCAAAAATTTAGAAATCCAGTCCTTTCTTCTTCGTAATTTGTAAATATCACCTTTTGTGATTTTAAAATATTCACCTATCATAACATAAACAACTCATCGTTTATATGTCTCGAAATTCATACTCGACTATTTTCTTAAGAGAAAATAATACCACGAAACTTACCTTCAGTTTCTTCGTCATTAACTGCAGATTTTTTATTATCATCGGCTTGCGACGTTGAGGAAGATATTAGTGATGATCTTGAGGTATCCCTATCCCAGTATCGTGATGACGTTGGCGAAGCAGTCGGAAGGGTACTTTTCAACGCGGAATATGTACGCACCTAATAATTTCAGAAAAAATAATAATGATAATAGAAATTACATAGGAATGTAAAGCAGACATTTTAAATGGCAATACATATTAACAAAGGCGCGGGAATATTATTACAAACAATGTTACGTTGTTAAAACCAAAGAATAAAATTTGTTGTTGCATTGACCCCAAAGAATACAAGTGTAGATGTACATAACGGCATTGTTCAATTAGAAAGCAAACAAAATTATTGCGGGCAGCTGACAAAAATTAGGGGATGGGGGTTAAGACAATTTATATCATTTTTAAAAGGGGTGCGAATGTGTGTTTTGTTGAAAATAAAAGAAAGAAAAACAATCGTAACAAAATAAAACATAACAAAACAAGAGCGAAGAAATGCAAAAAGATATTGAACAAAAATACATGCCAAAGTAAAAAAGCACAGATATGCTAGTGGTTTTCATAATAATTATGTTTGTTATTTGATTTGAAAACCCGCCCACGCGTACTTTTTCATTAATAATAAGAGTTCAAACTTCGGCTATCAAAAAACGTATATTAATAAAAACTAAAATTTTTATTTCAAACATGAACCAAAACAAATTGGAAATACACCGTATTTTTAGCTAAATCAAAATGATATGTATGATGGCAATAATGTTTAAGAATGAATGTGAAGATTAAAAGTGTATTTGATGTGTGTATTTATGTTTAAACAGAGGTGGGGTGGGGTCCGTCTAATCGTATTTTCACTCTCATTTGTTGATCATGAGAACGAAACCGAAATCTAAGATATATTATATTAAACAATAATAATAAACATATCATTTAAACAATAACAAAAGATGTGCAACATTTTTGTAAATATACACTTTTGAATAGAATGTGCAGACGTACGTCTGTGTATCACGCACGTCTACACAAACATTCAAATCCAGTTGCACATCTTAGGTGTTGTGAAATTTGTTCGTTTTGTTTTATTGTCATTCTTTACGGCTACGGTTTGAAGAAGTTGGTTGCAACTTACACTACTAGTTTCATCCATAGTTTCGGTAAGACCGCCAGAAATTGATGCGAGCTTCTTTTTACTTGCATCGCCATCAACAGAACTAGACAGTGATGTAAAGGTGGTATCCTCGGCTTGAGCATAGTGTTTGCTACTCTTTAGTGGCAGGCTACCGGTATTGTTGGGACTACTGCTGAGTATTGCGGCATGACGACTCGAAGCAGACGACACAGCCGCCGAAGCACTTGGATGCAAACTGGTAATAACTTTACCTGCCCCACTAGTCCCCGAACTACGATATGGTGTACGAGTCAATGAACCACCACCGTTATTGGGAAATTTCAAATTGCAATTGTCCAGATCACTACTGTGCCGATGATGTTGTAGGTTACTCGTGCTACCACTACCGCTGTGGGATCGCAGCGTTACTGAACTGGGAGGCAAACGTTTTTGCTCACTAAAACTATTGAACTTTTCAATTGAAGCCCGAATACTATTTTGGTCAATGGCAGTTTCCGTCCGTCTATCGACGCTACTCGATAATGTTGAATTGAGTCCGGCGCCTAGACTACCATTGGCATACTTATAGTGATTGATTTTTTCAAAAATCATATTATTGGTGGCGTTGGATGTGGACGAGGATGAGGTTGAAGACGCAGAATGGCTGCTGGAACAAATGATTGTTGATTTGGGCCTAATGCGATTCTTCGACGAAGACGAAGTCGAAGCGTTTATACAACAACGCTGATCGTATCCACTTTGTGTTGATTTCCGTTCACTGGCCATGGCTGCAGGTGGTGGTGGTTCATCGCTGTCGATGAATTTTATGTCGTCTTGATCCAAAGACGTTTGCATATTGTTATTGCCGCTACTTGTTGCCGCAATATTGTTTAGACTATTGTTACTTCCGTTGTTGTTGTTATTATTATTGTTGTTGTTGTGGTTATTCTTTTGCTGCAGGGAGTGAATAGAGGAGGAAAATGAGTTCGTGGCGAGAACGCTGCTCCTATGGACCAAGGGTTTGACTTGATTACGTATATTCAACTTGTTCGTTGCAAAAGAGGTGCTGCTGCTGCTGTTGCTGGCAGCTGAGTTTAATTTCTTGGACGCCGTGGATGCAGATGTGGCAAAAGTTGAGACCGTTGTTGATGATGACGACGACGACGATGATAATCCTTTGAACTGTGGGCCGCTGTAGTTGATCTCAACCTTATTTGTTGCCGTCGCAACCGCTGTGGTTGTGCCCAAATGTGTACCATTACCAGTTCGTCGCATCCCATTTGTTGTGGCAGCAAAGGCTGCTGACGGTCGTTGCTAAATCGTAACGTGGACAACCGAACTAATTTAAAACACTTTCAAGCCACAAATTTGAGTATTTAAATGTCGAGCAAAGCAAATATTAGGTAATTGAATTAAGTAAAAATATTATTAGGAAATAGAAATGTCACTCAAATGTATGGCTTGATTAAGGATATAATTCTTTTTCAGAATACATCCTTAGAGTGTATGGCTTTGTGTGTTAAATGCTTACCAAGTTATTGTTGCTATAAAATATATTATTGGAAATTGCAAGTGGCCGAAAATCTTTGACCTGGGGTAATGTTTTGGTCGAATTCTTGCCACTATCCTTGGCGACTTTTGCGACTAAAGCATGGGCCAATTCGCACTCTTCTTTAAGGAAATTTTGATCTTTATAGGCATTGATAAGGAAAAACGGTTGATTGGCCTTCCTTACTGGATTCGATTCGGCCTCAGATGACTGGACATTTATTAGAGATCCTTTAACTTGTATCTCTTTTCCGGAATGTTTGTATTCTACAGCTGGAATGTATTTTGTCACTGTTGAATTTTTAAATTGTTGCTGCTGCTGTTGGTGAGCGTCCTTTGTGGTTACAATTTCGGGATCACATTTTTCTTTAAGCATGGGGAATTTTTGAAAATTGCTTGTTGTCTTTTTAATGTCTATCATTATTTTGTGTATTTAGGAATTTTGTCTGTGTTTTGCTTCTTTTAATTCACTGAGTTTACTTCTTCTTAGTTTTTTCTTACAATTTTTATTTATTTATTTTTTTGTTTTTTATTTTAAATTTTCACTTAGCTATTCACACAAAGAAACCCACATACTCGGTTATATAATTGTTAATTTGATTTGTTTGTTAGACGGGTGTTGTGATGGTCCTGCAAGAGATTAGCTGGAAGGAAGGAAGATTTTGTTAAATTAAAATGAGATGATGATTAGGATTAAGGTGGTTGTACGTGATGGACGGGTTAACAATATGAGTTGTATATGAATGATGAAATGAAGGATGGTTTGTATCGACTGATGGAAATCGGGATCTTATCAAGAACGGTTTTGGAACTTTATCAATCCCTTCATCAATTACTTGTATATTACAAATATACATTTATATCTATTCAAAGGGGGGAGGGATATACGTGCAAAGCTATTAGAAATGGCGTCCTACAGTTTGTGTCTTCATCGTACTTGGAGGAAGAAGGGTGCATGTTAGTAGCATGCATGCGCGTGGTTAAAATGTTTGCCTGTCATTACATTTGCCTAATGTGTTAATTCCTTAATAACGAGCACTTCAGCCAAGGATTAAATTTATGTACATTGTTTTTGCATTTGGAGGGAAGTGTTTTCGTTTTATTATTAATTTTTTTTTTAATTTTGCATTCACTGTCTATGGCCTTTTGTGTTTACCTTGTTCGATGCATCATTGTCTTCTGGCGTTTCTATGCTATTGTGATGATTACTTGTCGTTGTCACAGGATCATTTTTTTCTTCTTGTGCCGTTGTTGTTGAAATTGAATTTTCAGTGTTGGCATTGTGATCGTTAACTTTCAATTTATTGAGCTTGATATGGACAACTGTATCAATTCCATTACTGGTTATGAGCGGTCGGTCCAGTGAACTAGATGTTTTGCTATCATAGTCACTAGTGCCGTTTCTTAGGCTCGATTTCTTGGTTTCTTTGTCCTCTGTGGGTTTGGAGCGACGCAAACGTGTGCGGCTTAATGTAATCGTTGGAACATCTTCTACACTGGCAGACGAATTTAAAGCTGTCGCCGAAGAGGATCTAATGGCCGATGAAACATTGTCTGTCTCATCGGTGTCTTGTCGAGAATACAAACGACTATAACGATTTCGGGAGCGTAAGTCATTGGCGGTTGTGCTTGTATTGTTGCTAATGTCGGTGGTTCGTCCGCGTTCCTCAATATCGTTACTGATGCCGGCCTCATTGAGCCCTGATCTAGAACCAGACAGTTCAGTATTTGGTTTATAATGGGCCGGACTGTACTTTTCATACATGTCCAGCCCAGAAGTGGCAACCAAACGCGCCAGGGATGAGGATGAAGATGAACCTGACAAGCGTTTCGACTCTCTGCTGCCACTGCCAGCACCACTACAATCTGAACCAGAAGGTGGTTTTTTGGAGACCGTGCTCTCACGGCCATTGCAGTCATTTTTTAATATATCCAAAGCCTTTCCATGTTTCCTCACCTTCATTTCATTTGCATTGATGTAATAGATTGTGTGGACATGATATCGGGCGTCATAGTGTTGTGGAAGTGTTTGGTGGTGAAATTGAACGAATTTTTTACGATGACACAGTTACATATTTACACAAATGAACCCAAAACGATAAGATCAATTTGTAAATATGAGATGACACACATATAAAGGCGACAATGATGTAGCGCGTTCGATGTTGTGAATATTATTAAAAAAAAATAGGGAAATGGAAGCGGGCATTAAGTTCGACCACATTAGTAATGTCATAGTGTGAACGAAGGCAGGACTATTTGAAGTATTGATAGCAAATTGAGAATATTACAAACCTAGGATTTCTATATACAGTGATGAACATTGATACCAGTTTTAAGGGAGTTATTTTCGTGGAATATTGTAAATTATTCACCAAATTCAAGTGCAGACCCTTAATATCTATGTCCACTGTATCTTTGCATGTATATAAGTTGAATCTTAAACTATGCTGAACTTTTAATCCGATATATTTTAATAATGAAGCATATTGAATTATTTTATTTCATTAGTGACAATGTATCAATACTGCAATTGAAAGAACAATTCCGAGGGAATTATACATACAAACAAAAGTGTGATTATCTATCTAGCAAATAACATAACTGAAATGCATGTTGTTTCTGTGTAGGTTGGTTTATGCGATGTGTTTGTATAATATATTGACAAATTCGCCGAATGCCTATTACATACGTTATTATTATTAGCAAACAATTATACAAAGGAGTCGTAAAGATCCAACGGTTTGTTGACTGGTTGTGTAAAAAACAAATTTAAAATTGATATACAAACAGGTTAAGGTGGTTGTCATTTAGATAGATGAACAAATACCCAGTAGAAAAAAATAAGGAATTATGATGCCACGCTAGAGTATAATATCGATGTATGGAAAGTTTGGGAAGAGGAAATAACCTCAAAGCTTAAGGTTTACATATTGAAACATGTTGTAAAAATAATTAGTTTTTATAGAAATGTTGGGAAAATACTCACTCCGTATCGGCTGAGCGTAGTTGTATCATAGCTGCTACTGTTTGAGCCTAAAGATGGCAAAATACTGCGGTATGTTCCAACACCAGATGAACCGCCAGTAAGACTAGACGCCGATGAGCGGTATGTTGTGGAAGAACGGGGCGTGTAGGACGAGTACGAAGAATAACTGCTTATATTTGGACTGTAGGAGGACGTAGAACTGGTAAGTTTAGATAAACTGCCAGCCCGATCCAAATACGATTTGTAAGCGCTGCTGCTGTATCGATCTGACACACTTCTGGAGGAAGAAGACGAAGATTCCGACGATGTTGTAGGTCCGACTGCGGCCGATGACGAGGATGTTGTGTAAATACTGCCACTGGCTGAAGTTGATGATCTACGTGGCGAAATCACCGGCATATTAAAAAAGTCGACAGTCTTCTGTCCAATGTTAACAGCCTTATCTAAACACTTAATGTTACTGATTGCACTATCAATTTATGTACAACAACAGCAGCAACGAAAAACTCTAATAACAATGACGTTATTTTAAAATATCCCCTTATTTAGTATACGACGATATTTAGCAGCATGTGTCTGCAAGCAGAAACAAAATTAAATATTTATATGATAAAACACAATTACAAAAATATATATTTACCATTTGGTTCCTTCATCGATGATGTTGGTTGGATTGCCTCTATAATGGTAATCTTATTACATACTTAAACAATCTCTACCTCCACAGCATATACGCACACAGACACTGTGTCTTAATAGTTCCTGCAAACAAAACAAATAAAAGTGTTAATTATTATATTATAAACATAATGTTATCTCTAATTCAGTTGTATGAAACTCTTCAATTTTCTTAATCTTAAGAAATATGTCTTTAATGAAACACTACATGCACCAAACTATATACCATGAATTTTACTATATCATATCTTTATTATATAATGTAAAAGTAAAATGTATGTTTTATTGTCAATAGTGTCGACTACCAATGATATCCGCCGCTGGACTTTATCTTTTTGTCCAGTCTAAAACCATTCTCAATCTTCTTTTGGGTTAATGCTAAACAATACAAATATATAGATAGACATCTTTCTTTAGCATGAATACCAAATTAGCCACATCAGATCAGAAAATAATATGATTAAAGGTAGGAGCAGTGTCGAGGTCAAAACTAAGTACCTCTGAGGACAATTTTTTATGAGAATTGATAGAAAATTTTCCAATTACAATAAATATGAAATTTGGCACTGATGCATCAAGTAGTTTTGTCTATAAAAGAGCGTTCAAATCTGATAATTGTTGACAAATTGTCCTTTTCACCTTATTTTAGAAAAAAAAGGGTACATTTTCCTGATGCTCAAATATTTGAATATTCAAATTAATGGTTATTTTAACTTTTAATTGCGGTTGGTGTGGATGATATAAACTAGAATTTATCGTAGTTTATATGTAAATACAGATGATATGGTTATCCACACCAGTAGTACTAGGCTCATCTAATTTAAAAAGCAACATTTAAAATTAGTGGAGTAGAAAAAGAGTTTTAGTAAATTTCGCCCTATTTTTATACCCTACACAACTATGTTGTCAGGGTATTATAGCTTTATGCAGCCCCAAGAGTCACGAATTGGTCCTAGAAGCACCTTTAAGTACACCGATCATCATATCTCGACTAGCTGAGTCGATCTAGACATGTGTGTCCGTATGTCCGTCTGTCCATTATAATTTGTAAACACGATACAGCCCACAGTTATGGACCAATCTTCTTGAAATTTTGCAGAACTCATCTGGTCAATGAAGACTCCTATTGTTTTTGGTAAAGATCGGTTAATATGTAGGGGATGAAGTGGACCAAAAACTTTATTTTTGTCTGATTTTCTGTTCGCTCCAGAGGCCGCAATTATGACCCAAACATCTCGAATTACATGGAGAAGGGGATTGGGCCGAAGAATAAGAATGTCGGTCAATATTGGACCCTGACTTTTGTGTGAAAAATTACAAAATTTGTATTCTATAGCGTATATATTTACTCCTGAAGGACATAGAGCCGATAAGTTGCTGGTATATCCAAGTGGAATTGTTGGCCTTTAAATTGATACCAATTATATTGTCGTATATACTCGGATGTGAGAGTTACACGTAAATATTTACAGATGCTTACGTATTAAGATATTATTTAGTAACCCATTACCACACTAGAGGTCGGAAATTTAGCGCTGAGATTCCACTTGTTGTCAAGGACAACGCCTATAATTTTCTGTGATAATCAGATAATAAACTTAATTTTTTTTTTTTTTTTTGTTTTTGAAGTCAATCTATAAGCCACAATTTCAAGCCGAACATCACAACACAACAATTTTAGACAAACAAGTTAAAGAAATAGGCAAATAATACTAGAAGAAGTAAAAACATTGTTTAGCATCGAACATATATTTCAGATTCCAAAATACATTTTCGTAAAGAATAAGATTAAATCTAAATATTGTACAATGTGGGAACTCATATCATTAATAATGTGTGAAACGATGATAAATAAAATGAAAGATCGAAATCTCTAAATCCGGATTCAAATAAGGAGTTGGCCTTTGAAAAATGCATTCTACAAGTGTAAGGTTCTTAAATGTACAAACATATTTATTTGGAAATTGCTTCCGATTATGGAAGTCTAAAAAATTGAACTAGGATCGAACAAACTGGTATTGGGATCATTGCTGGTGCTGATCTGTTTGTAACGTATTAGGATTCCTATAAATATGGAAATGTCCATTTGTTATTTATAATTGTAGTTCCTCGTAATATCATGTCAAGCGGTTTGGAATGAACCATGACAATTATTTAAAAATATATCGTTAGGAGTGTGATGATTAAAAATATTTTTATTATTTCATTGTGTTGTTGTTGTCGTCGCTGATTCATGGCATTACAACCTATAAGATTTGCACGATAATCTTCTCAGTAAAATAATTAACATTATTTTTTTTTTAATATTACATATATTTCTGCAAATGCTCATCTTTTCTTTTTTTAAAGAGAGACAAAAAACACCTTTTATTATATACATACGTATGAATGATCGAATAAATTTTGTTTAATTATTTTTAGACCGAATGAGGGAACCACTATGCGCCGCAGTTGAAGACAAAAAAACAACAGCACGACACTGGCTGAATGTGCGATGGTGTGAATACAAACTCACGCACACTTTTACATATTAAACTTTATTTATCATCATTATCACCGTGAGGAGCGTCATCATCGCAATGAGCATATATCAACAATATTCATTGTCAAATATCAGCAAACACCAACTAACGAACAACAACAACACCAGCAAAACACAAGAATTCGTTAATTGGCCCACATTGAAAGATATTGTATTAATTTTCCTTTAAGATCTCATTTTCCTTCGATTTCACATTTTACGAATCGCCTCAAATTGTAGGTTCACAATGGGCAACCTATTTATTTAGATCGGCTCCATATACATATTGTTTTAATTGGAATGTGTAACAAAATCGAAAATATTTTAGCACTTCATACATTGTCAGGTGGGCAAAGCTTATCTCACTTGTTTTTACTATTTTTTTTAAGATAAAAAACTTCACCTTGGTCGTCGACGCACTACACTTTACGAATTGAGAAAGATTTGATTATATATTTTTTTTTCATTCGTGAATGGATCGAAGAACGTGAAACACTTGATGCTAATCAATGCAAAATATATTTGAGAACGACACATAGGAAGAGAGACAGCAGCAGAACGATAGACGACACAACACGGACAGACACACATACTATATTTTAAACGCTGCTGCTTTTTTATCGCACGTTCTCTTGTTTGATGTGTGTTTTTGCTACTGCTGTTGTTGTTGTTTGTGCTCAAAAGTCAAATAAAGTCGTAAAAAAAAGAAACATTCTATTTTTATAGCGAGCGATTCATGAATTACGCAAAGAGAAAAATTTTCATTTCATTGAAAATCGGAAAATATGCAAAAAGGTGAATTGTAAAATAACTGAAACTACCACCACACCACACAATTATTATTACAATGTTAATTATGATGATATTATGAAAACACCATGGACACTACGTAGATACTACTATAACATCATTATTGTCACCAGCACGTCGTCGTCGTTGTCATGATGATGAAGATGTTAGTCGCCTGGCCAACTGCCCAAGTGGGTAGTGGGTGGCATGAGAAATAATAGCTTGGCCTTTTCTCGTAGTAGTAATCGTCGTATTGGTTGCACGACGACTACGACGACGGTTACTCTCTACACACCGTCACCACCACCACACAACCAACATTCCACTTCTCTAATGACTTTGACAATAATGATGTTCAACATAGTTGGTTGGTACTGCTGTCTGGTTCTTGTAGTGGTGAGCCGAGGTCGTTTATTCTCAATTCGATTGACTATTTATTTACAATTTTTCAATATTTCTTTGCATTGACAATGACACACTACACATATCGCTTAGAAACTCACTTTAAGTTTATTAATTTCAATAAAATTCTATGATTTTTGGTTTATTTTTAGCAGCGGATAAAATTTTCTTCTCTCCTCGTAGTTGGAGAACCGAGTTACAATGCAAATTTTTGGCGGCGTATCAAAATACATCTGAAAGAATAACGGCGTCACAGATTAGTTAACGCCGTTGGTGTTATCGGTTTCCAGCCTACATAACTTGGAATAATCTATTAGTCGACGAATCACATTCTAACGGTTACATTTGATTTGATTTTGGTGTTATTAAAAAAAATACAATTTTTAAGATAAATGTTCGTTTCTACTTGTATCTCAAAATAACTCTAAATCCATTAAATTTCATATTCGATAATCTAGCCCAAAGGGCCAAGAACGGTTCAAAATCAACAAAATATAGACTACTCCAAAAGCTTAAAACTAACAATGTATTAGCTTAATGATATCTTAACGTCTATTCAGTTGGAGAGGATCAGAACCATTGTACTTCAAAAACATTTTTATTATTATAATTACATCATTTGACGTAGCGACCTAGCACATATTTTAATTGTAGTCTAAAGACTCAGACTATCAATTTACGATGCTTTTAGCCTATTATTTCTGATACATTATTCAAATTAGTACATATGTAACAGTACTCAAAAAAGTATTCCGGCGACCTTACTATAACTGCTGATGAACCCGAGCGTAAAAGGGTGTGGAAATTTTGTCCATCAATATTAAATTTTAAATATATAACCATGGTAAAAATGTATTTATAATGTAAACCGATAAGGCCAATGGCTGTGATATTCTGTAACTGTTTTAGAACAAAATTACCGACGTTTGGCGATAACTACAAATTTTCATTTGTTAAAAATTTCGTTAATTAAGGAAATTATCCGGTATGCTAACAATCAAAATAATGTAGTTAAGACTTGCTGACAGAATTGTTGCGAATTTAAAAAACGGTAACTTGAGTATTCTAGAAGTCCATATGTTGTCATTTTTGGCATCGCTATTGGCCCATTGAATTAAAAAATGTAAGCGAGCTCTATACACTATTTTTTAACTTTCTTGTTGTAATCGTAAGTTGCATGATTCCCTTCCATACAGAATATTATTGTAACTAAAATTATAATTAAAATTACAAACAATTATTATGAATATTATATTATTTAAACTTTGTACATGTATTTACTTTCAACAAATATTTTTACAAAAACTCGTTTCGTTTTTCATATATATATATATATATATATATATGGTTCAAAGGCCCAAGTTTGCTTCAACTTCTTGCTCAAACTTTTTCATTTTGGCTAAAACTACTAAATTTTCCTTTTGCTCTTCATACGTTAAATAGATCGCAGTTAAACCTTGAATGCACAATATGGCCGAGAGTATGGGAAGAATAGGTTTCGTAAATTTACGAATCAATTGAAACACCTCCTTGGGGTTTTCTGTAATTGAAGGCAATCTGTAAGTGTAATGGCGTGTAGCAAACATACATGCTGATAAGGGCGCCAATATGGTTGGATATATGACACCGAAGGCAGTTTGGAAAGTCATTGCTCTCATTTGTATGCATGTAGGACATTCGCCCATGGGATCCAATAGAACTGACCGTTGAACGAAGAGTTTGTGACATGAGAGAGTAAATATGGCCGGAATAACTACTATTGGAAGGTATGTTGAGAATCGACCGTAGGTACCCAGACGCAGTTTGTTCCGGTAATGATTGTTAACGAAAATGCCGGTACCAGTTGCCATCGCCGATAGAATACCCGGCCCATAGCGTAATGACCAACTGAAAATGTAACAAAAAACAGAATTGAAATCGAAACAGAATTGGTACATATCATATACCTACACATCGCTTAATTTTTCCCATTTTGAAATGATATTCCACTGATATGCCAAAGCCTCATCCTCGGTTATTACGACCGCATCTTTTGGAATATATTCCTTGGTTGCTCTGGATAAAGCCATTTAATTCAGTTTATTTTATAAAAATCACAATATTTAAAAAATTGCACACGGTAATATAAGTAGTAGTATGATTATGAAAGAAACAAGAATAAAGATAATGAGAAAATGACCGATAAATATCTGGAATCAAAACAAAGAAAATCAGGGCTTTACAAATCAAAAAGCTAACTGAGAAAAGGGATTTGCAAACTAATAATCATCTACTTTTGGGATTAGTTAGTATCGTATCGTATGCATGCTTGTAGTACTATGATACGTCAGAAACATCTTTCCAAAAACAAACCAATTCATAAGATTTTTTACACCATTAAAAAATATTTATTTTAAGATTTACATTTACAATGTTGTTTTTATTTGTTTTTTTACAACATTTTTAACATCTAATTCTACAGACAGTTGTGTTGATGCGATTACCTTTTTAAATTTACTTTACACCCGTTTTCTATAAACAAAGTCGAAAGTCGATTTACGTATCCCTATCTAAATCGCTCCGTTGCACAAATTTATCCCAACTCCAAAATGGACAAATTGGAAGTGAGCACTTTAAAAACAAATGTGATTCCATTGCCAAATAACGTTGTGGAAGGTCTAAGACATTTGGCGACAATAGACAGTGACACTAGTCGAAAGCTAATAGGAAACACGGTGAAATTAACTCTACACCCTCAAGCCAGTATGTTGGAGGAATAGTATTACCTCCACACATTACTTACACATATATACCATTCTTTCTAGCACTTCAACCCATACCAGAAATATATGCAACCAATAGCGCCAAGGCAAAACAAAGTGAATATGCTGTCTGCAGCTTATTTTGCTTGGCGACAAAGCATTGCCTCTCCGAATTCGAACTAAGACAAATGCTGGAAGAGATTGATTTAAGCGGTGCTATCGTGGAGGAACTTGTCAAAACCTATGTCGATAACAAGAAGTCATTGATTCTGCGTCATTTACAAATTGGTCATAGTTTTCCCCATGTAACTGATTTGCAATGGCGCATTGTAGCCGATGTTAAATCTTCAACTTCCGACAAGAGCAGTGGAGAGCCAGGATTTTACATCAATATGGGCCGGTATAAACAAAACTCTGATGGTGAAAGAGAGACTATTGTAGAATTTGTGTGCAATACAGAGGAATTACAGCTGCTAATAAATAAGCTCAAAGAAATCGAGAGGCACTGCGAAAAGTGGTCCAATGATTCATCTTGAGTAATTAAATAAACACGCACACAATTATAATTTGGTAATAATTTATTTAATTAATTAAAATTATCTAAAACAATATCAACAAAGGGGGTCAACTTAAAGAAAATACCTGAAAATTTTCTTGATTTTGGTTAGTTATTTCAAAACAGCAATTCTCGCTTAAGAACAGCTGTCGTAGTCGCTAAACCTGATTATCGATTAACGATTTAATTTCTGAAAAGTCGGAAGGGGCGTTGGTATAAATTGATCCAGAGAATGCCTTCTCGGCATTATCTTCTGGTAGTATGACAACACAATCATTGTGTTTCTTCAACTTCATATTGAGTCCACGGAATCTTTTGTCGATTTTGTACAGGTTCTTACCGCTAGCCCAGGAGTAAAATGGTTTCCCACTGAAAGGATTCATGAAATCTGCCCAATAGCCATGCAAACGGAGGCGGGAAGAAATTTCACGAGCCGCCAAAACAAACTGTTAACAAAGTATGTGTTTTTAATTAAATAAATCCAAAATATAAACCGACTGCAAACATACCTTCCTTGCACCTTGTTCGGAATCGCCATGAAATTTTAATGTTACTAAGGTTAATTTTTCACTAGACACCACTTCTGGAGCAGGGAAGAGTTCATGTAATGATTTCTTAATTAACGAAGGGCATTGTGCGACAGAAAATTCCAACAGCGATTTCTGTTCTTTCTGCTAAAAGTAGATACAATAGAATAAGTAAACAAACAATTACATAACTTGTAACTATTAAATTTACCACCTTTCCATCAAAATCGACCAGCGATTCTAATGGAGCGTCCAGTGTGATCGTGCTAGAAGCACCCTGCCAAGCTGGTCCAACAGCATTCTTAAGGAAAAACCTGTTTCCTTTAGGAGCCAGTAGTTCCCAATTAGGACCACATTCCCCACCCAAGAATTCTGCCAAATAACAATCGCAAAAACATATGAAATCAATTAGTACATTTTACACATATGTTTATCACATCGTCTCTAAGTGCTGAAACATTGTCCACCACACATTCCACAATATCAATACACACAAGAATAGATAACATATTTTGGGCTATTGTTAAAATCTATTATCGTCAGACATACGTGCTTGCTTTGCCCCTCAATGTTTATTTACCTTCTACACGAACTTTTGATTTGACAACCTTGAACGCGGACTCAAGGTTTTTCGAATCGCTGCGCCTGGAATAATGTGCCACAATACAGTAATTATTTGGACGAATTGGCAGCAGGTACAAGGTGAAGGGATATTGTGTATTGGTTATGCGCAGTGAGGCAGCTCCAGCACAACGTACGAATCGCAATAAGGAATAGGACATGATTAATCCTCCTCCATACGTTTTTTTTTATTCTCGAATTTTATTTACTTCAATTCACTTAATACTGTATTTGGGCTCTTTTGTTCGTTTTTTTTTCGAATATATAACGTAATGTTCCGAAAATAAGGCGAATTTTATATTTTGCTCAATTCCAATTTTGCGACTCTATCGTTATTTTTTTTTATTTGTGTAATACAACTGATTTAGGGAGGAGAAAATGTCGATTGGTTGATTAGTGAGAAATTATAATCGATTTTTTTGACTTTCGTCAGTATACTATCGATTTTTATTAGAATTTGCAATAAGGTTATGTTTCCACAGACTTCAACAGATATTTATGTTTACATTAGGCGAGTTTATTTAAGGCAATTCTTATCGTTCTCTTTTGAACTTGATTTATGCGTCTATACAAGGCAATTTGGTTTCAAAAATATATATTTATTTTGGATATTTTATGAAGCGTTTAATTTGTTGTGGAAACTGACACTACAAACAAAATACACAATTGACAGAAAATTGCCGGTACGAGCAATTTTTTCCATTTCTGTTCACCCTACCCCTCTCCCTACAAACGAAGACTTGCCGCAAGTAAACTCGCCTAATCTAAATAGGGACAAATGTTGTTAGAAGTCAAAAACGTTTATCACAAATTGTTTAAATCGTATGTTGGATTCGATTACTCACTTGTATTTCATTCCATCGTTTGACATAAATCAATCGGACATGATATACCAGAACCAATATTTGTGTTTCAATAAGTCTTATGAACATTTTTAGACTTGTGACATATATGAACACTGGCCCTAGCTGATAGATCGTACTTTGTTTAAAAGAAAAATAAATCTGTTTTCGAAAATGTCTAGTATGGTTCAAACAATGATAAATAATTAAATGAGGTAAAAAAAGTTGTTTATCGACAATCTGTCAAAATTTATTTTGTAATATTTTTCATTGTTAGTAATTGGACTGTTCCCGTACTACAATAATCTACTAGATTTTTCTAATTTCTTCGTTATCATAGCAGTAGAATACGGGACCAGACCAAATATTGCACACCGAATTTAAGTAAAAACTATACACTTTGGCAGTTAATCGAATAGTCAGCTGCGCTAACTTGACTACCTTTTTATTGTGTCATGGTGTAAACAATGTCTATCCCATCTGTTTCATTTCATTGACAACTCCGGCAACCCTCCACTGTCTTGCACGTGTATTGTGAAATAAACAATGCAAACCACCATCACGCAGTAGAAAAATATTAATTCACAAAATTAACAATTATGTCTAGAATTATTGTAAAACAATTGCCCAAAAATGTAAGTAGAGAAGGTCGGTCTTGGATTTCCCCCCATTAATTGGAATTGCCTCTTCTAATTTAGGTCACAGAGGATAAATTGCGTAGCCTTTTCGGTCAAAAGGGTACCATTACTGATATGCAACTTAAATATACACCTGATGGAAAGTTTCGCCAATTCTGTTTCATTGGCTATCAGACGGAAAATGAGGCAGCGGAGGCCATTAAATACTTCAATAATTCAACTATACAAACCAGTCGAATAAAAGTAGAATTATGTGCCAAATTGGGCGGCGAAGAGAAGCCTCAATCGTGGAGTAAATATGCCAAGGACAATAAGAAAGATGCAATAAATAAGGAGAATAAAAACACCAAAGAGGTAAAGGAGAAAGAAGTAAAAACTCCATCACGAGTTGATGAGCTCTTAGACAAACACAAAGATGATCCCGAGTTCCAGGAATTCATGAAAGTCCATGAAAGAAATCGTACGCTATGGGCTAACGATGCCACCGAAGTGGAGGCACCGAATGACGCTGTTGCCCCTGTTGATGCCAGTGATGATCATAGTGAGAAGAAGGAGATGGAAGACACGGAAAATGACGAAAGTAATAGTGCTAACGACCGCGACGAAGACGAGGGGGAAGAAGAGAAATTAGCGGAAAAGCCCATAAGCGATATGGAATATATGAAGTCATTAATGGCCAAGAACAACCAAAGTTCGGCATCGAAGGCAAAGAAAACGAGTGTTGATTTATTCACAATTAAAATACACAATGTGCCGTACCAGACGAAGCGTCAGGACATAATCAAATTCTTTAAACCACTTAAACCCTTCTCAGTGCGTTTGCCAACTAATGTCCACGGATTTTGTTATGTCGGTTTCAAAACCGAGAAGGACATGAATAAGGCAATGCTAAAAAATAAAAGTTTCATCAAGGGCAAGCAGGTGTTTTTCTCCGACTTTACCGAAAAGAATAAAATCACCAAGGCCAAACAAACTGCGGGGAAAGATGGAGAACAAATCAATCAGGCCGATGGTGCAGATAAAAACTCGAAATGGAAAAATCAGGAGGCGAGTCTTAACAACGAAGAAGATATATCTGAATCTGGAAGAATATTTTTCCGAAACTTGGCATACACGGTAACTGAAGATGACTTGCAAAAAGTGTTTGAGGAATTTGGTCCCATTGCTGAGATACACTTACCTGTCGATTCTGTAACGCGACAAATCAAAGGTTTTGGCACTGTCACATACGTAATGCCTGAACATGCTGTTCAAGCCTTCAATAAATTAGATGGAACCACGTTCCACGGTCGTCTGCTTCACTTGATACCCGGTAAGGGGAAAAAGTCTGATGATGATCAAGATGAGAATGATGCTAACTTGACATTCAAGCAGAAGAAAGCACTGAAACTAAAGAAGACTGCTCAACAATCTACAAATTGGAACACTTTATTCCTTGGGCCAAATGCTGTAGCCGAAATTCTAGCAAAGAAGTTTGAAACATCAAAACAACGCATTTTGGACACCGAAGAAGGCGGATCCAGTGCTGCTGTTCGTATTGCCTTGGGGGAGACACAAATTGTCATAGAAATGAAGAAATTTTTAGAAGATAATGGCGTTAGAGTTAACGCTTTCGATTCGGTGAATGCGAAACGCTCCAAGACCATAATACTAGCTAAAAATTTACCACCCGATACAACGGTCGCTGAATTGACACCAATCTTTGCGAAATTCGGACCAATTGGCAGATTAATACTACCACCCAGCGGTGTGACAGCTATCATTGAATTCTGTGATCCAACAGAGGCAAGGCATGCCTTCAAAAAACTAGCTTATAGCAAATTTAAGAATGTACCGCTATATCTGGAATGGGGTCCTGAGGATACATTTACAACCACGCTGAATGGAGAGCCCTTAATACCGAAAATTGAAAGTACAAATGCCGACAAAGAAGAGGCATCAGAAGAGAACATTGAAAAAAGCAAGCAGGCTGATGAAGAGGCCGTCCTGGAGGAAGACGAGGAAAATGAAGATCCTGAACCAAATACAACCCTATTCTTAAGAAACCTTAACTTTAAAACCGTGCGGGAAACGGTTTATAATCATTTCAAACGTCTGGGCACAATACACACAGTGGAAATAGCTAAACGGAAAGATCCCGAAAATCCTTCACAGACGACTTCATTGGGCTATGGTTTTATTCAATTCAAGAAGGCATCTGTTGCCGAATACGCACTGAAAAATATGCAATTTACCACAATCGATGGCAATCAGGTGGAACTTAAACGTAGTGATCGCATTCTCAAGTATGCTATGGTAACAATCCTAACGATATTATGTTAATGAAAACATTTGTTTATTGTAGAACACCAGCCACTCAGGGAGAGCGAAAGAAGGTTCAACTTACGAAACAAACTGGTACCAAGATATTGGTACGAAATATACCCTTTCAAGCAAAAGTCCGGGAAGTTCGAGATATTTTCAAGTAATAAAAAGAAAAAATCCTGCGCGGTGTTCAAGAAATGCTAATTATTCATTTTTGTATATCTTATTTCAGAGCCTTTGGAGAATTACGATCAGTGCGATTGCCCAAAAAAATGGCGCCTGGAGAAGAATCACATCGTGGTTTTGGGTTTGTTGATTTCGTAACTAAAAGTGATGCCAAAAAGGCTTTTGAAGCTTTGAGCCAAAGTACTCATTTATACGGCCGACGTATTGTCCTTGAGTGGGCTTCTACAGCCGACGAAGATGTAGATGCGCTCCGAAAACGATCTGCCGCGCAATTTAATAGCACAAATCAGGATAAATTTGCAAAACGCAGTAAAAGAGCAGTTTTCGATGCCAGTGGAAGTTCAAATGTGACTCAAAACGATGATGACAATTTTAGTGATTAGAAAGAAATATGTATGATTACTATTTAATTCGAAGAAGCATTGCGTCTCCCCTCCCCTTCCCAGATACTATTATTCTTTGACCACATCAATTTGTGTTTTTAAATGTGTATTCAATGATTTAAATATTGCTTTATCTTCTTTATTTTTTATATGTATCATTTGTGAATACATTATTCTTTATTTTTTTTTAAATAAGTTTACGGTAGACTAAAGAATATTATATAATTTTAACATTTGCGGTAAGATTTAAGACCTTTGAAGCTGTTATAGTTTTGTAAGACGAAATAAAATACATACGAGAACAGTGTAATGTGCCGAAGAATTATGTTGCCGTGCGGCATAAATCCTTATATAAATATACACAGCAATATGTTCTCTGTTGTAATAACGATACACACTAGAATAAATGTATAATAATAATTAATAATAAATTTTGGATTTTCAATGCATATCTTTTGTTGGTGTCTTCTCTGTCCATCTTGATGGCTTAAGTGTGTTGTTTGCAATTTCAAAACCATTAGGAAACTTCTTTCTTCCAATGTAGCTATGTGTTTTGTTGATTTTTATCCAATTTTGTATGTGTAGATAATGTACTTGTAGATGTGTTTCTTTTGGGTTTGATGTTTTTTTTTTTGTTTTCGAAGAATCAGCCAGCTCAAAGCAATAATACTTGACGAAACTGAACGAACCACTTGGATTTATGTATTGTATTTACATAAAATGCATAATATATATGTATATATAAAAATATCGTGCTCTCCTCTATATATAATATATGTTTGTATGTTCATAATGACCTGTTAAGTGTTACTTGAGCTATGGAATACGCTTAATCAAACATTCCGCCGCCTGAGCAGCATATGGTTTGCAGCATTTAATGCTTTATTTTATAGATGGCCGGTTAATCATCAATCATTGTCGTCATCAGTGTCCTTTCCATTATGGAATTATAGAGTCTCTGTCATATTGCATGCGGGCCTGCAGGAAACAGTACAGAATACCAGCTTGGGCCATAACATCTACCGTGCTGGCAGCCAATAGATCCTTCTGTTTGGTTTGTGTTGCACCCGGTCGTAGAAGTGTGGGGCCAAACACCATAGCCAAATTGTGTAGAGACATTTTGTTGTCGGCTTCCCGATTGTGAACTCTATAATAGCAAATTGGAATTTGTAAGTAGAAATGATCAGACTAGGAATTTTGGCCAGTATTACAGTACCTTATTAAATGATCTAAGATATGATTAATGGACGCCTTATTGGCTGGTGGCAACTCCTCAAAAATCACCAACAATTCTCTGATACGTTCTGCCTCGTTGTTATTCGTGAATTTGCTGAATGTTTCAAAGAATTTCGGATACAAAACATCTGTGAACAAAGCCTCGGGCAATTCGCGTAAATACGACTTTAGAATACCGGTTACCGAGTGAATGTCAACATCTTTCAATAACTGTTCGGCTTCGTATGCATCTGTCATAAAAATTGAAATATATAATAACATTTTTATAATTCTTTATTTAATTTACAACTTACTGGTTTCAAACGATTTTTTTAATTTGGCTAAATCGGAGGCGGAACCGCTAACCCGATAAATGCCAACTTCAGACATTCCCCGTTTCTCCACTTCTCGTATACAGGCACTTATTATAAATGGAATGTCACGTTTTTCCCGTCTAAAAAAAAAAACAATAACAAAAAATGAATATGTGTACAAATAGGGTTGGACATTTTCGGGCAACTCACTTCAGAACTTGTTGCATTTTTGCACCAAACAGTGCTCCCGGTTTCGAGGTAGGCACTCGCCTTAAAGTCACTTCACCAGGTACGAAATGTAGAAGAGTGTTTAGGACTAAGTTTTCGCCCAATTTGATGACACGGGCTTGTGGTGTTTCCTTCAACCAGCTGCGGCTCAACTGTAATGTGTTCGGAAATGTGAATTTGTTGCCGAACAAGTCTTACTACTTCGTTCAATGCCTTACCTTAAGCACGTGTTTTGATTTTAAAATGGGTCTATCCTGCACGGTGTATAGTAAAATACGAACATTTTGACTGCCTTCCAGCTCAACTACAAAACTTTCATTCCAAACAGGGTTTGTTGTACGGCAAATCATTTTCGTACCAGCCTTGCGGAAGTAATGACCATACGAATCGACTTCTATTATTATATAGGAATCGAGGGGTTGTTCCAGGCCCGTTAAGCTTTGCACCGTCATGTGTAGATCACCCACCAGTAAACTTTCATCGTTTGTATTGCGCATCAGATATGATCCCATTTCGGTCTTCATGCTCTTTTGCATGGCTACAATGAAGGCGTGAACCTCAAGGGCATTTATACTGCTGGCACCAGGAATATTACAAGTTTGCTGTGCGATTACGAAAACAAAAATTAAATTAACATTTATTAACACTGTGCATTGCCGAACGACATTACAAACCTGTAGACTAAGTATCGAATCTATCCACTGGGTCCTTTCAAAGTCGGAACTTAAGAAAAATGTAACCGTCTTATTTGTTGACTTATTGCCTATGCGAAACACTAAATTGGGCGATGCCAGCACTAATTGTGATTCCAAATCAGCCAATTTTCTGCGATACTTGTCGCCATAGCGAAGTCCGTTGGCCTTGCGAGATTTATCATCCGCCTTCTCCTCCATTAGCAGCTGATCTCGCACGGTACACGCTTGCGTTTTTAGCTGCAAAATATTTGGTGGACTAGATTCCTTAAGATCGGCACCGGCGTCGGTCTCCTCAAAGACGGCCACATCTTTCAGCGGAATAAACCACTTGAGTTCGTAGTCTATGCGGTCGCGACCGGAGGCCTTGTATTTGGCACATGCTATTACGTCATTGAACAGGAAGAGATGTCGCAGCTTACGATGCCCATCCACAAGTTCGACAATGAAGGAATTCTTCACCATACGGCGGAGATTCTTATTCGATTCGGTTGGCAACTTTTGATTGACCACATTGAATTGCTTGAGGAACTTGTGTATTGTGTCGTGTGCATGCCTAAGCGGATGATGATCGGGATGATTTGGAGGGGTACACTCAAGAAGATCGTTAAATACCAGGGCATTTATTTGCACACGGGCCACTGGCTTGTGCAACAGATCTTCCAGTGTCAGCGATTGCTCTGTCTGCAGGTTCAAGACAATTGTCGAAACTATCTTCTTGAACTGCGGATTATTGGCACTGCATTTCTTTACCGTTTCGATGGCTTGGTTGTAATTGTGCAAGAACGCACTATACAAATCAACCATTTCGGCTAGTCGCTTAAACGTTTCACCAATAAGCACATCGCCACCCTCGTGAGCTACAAGTGTTTTCAAATCGCTCAGAAATATCGAATGTGAATCATATAGCTTCTCGATCATGAAGAAAATTGTGTTCTCTTCCTCTTCTTTGATGACGGGCTGTGACGTGCCCAATGTTGCATGTATGGCCTTTTTGTACTATAAAAAATATATAATTAAATAAAATGTTGAAAGTTAAAATCATCAATTAATTTAATTTATAAATCAATGAAAAACATTTTTTTTGAAAAGAGGTTCTATATTCTGAATATTGCACATCATTCAAAGAATATTAACAAAATATGATCTTTATGATTTCATTAAATTCAATTCAAATTGTATACGACTACTTACTTGTATCATAGTATTTAAACACGCAACATATATTGTTTCACTCTGTATGATAATGTTTAGAATTGTCCTTATTTTATTGCCACGCTGATTGCCGGAAACCTGCAAGTTTTTTTAAATAATTAATTCCATTGATTTTCATACATCACTTATAGACAAACAAATTTGAACAACGAAATGCAAATAAAACACAGAAGACACAAAATGTATGTACCAAAATCCCACATTTATTTATTGATATTATGAGAAATATATATTTCGAAATGCAACAGTAAACTAAAATAGCAAATTATGAAATTAAAATGAAAAACCAACACCACAGATACATACGTAACAAACAAAATACATATATGTATGTCAACATGATAAATGGTGTATACTCACAAGTATTGCTGAAACAAGATTCTGTTCAGTTGTGTATTTGTGTTGTTTACGAAAACAAAAAATGTATTAGAAAAAAAGGAAAATATTTTTATGTTAGTTAATTATTCAAAAATAATGAGTTATTTTCATGAGGAGAATAATACGTTATGCATCGATTGTGAACAGCATCTGAGGGGATGGTCGGGTAAACATCATTACCCAAACTTGTATTGACACTTCAGTAGCCGTTCACAATCGAATCTAAACAGAGCAGTGAATGAAAGTAGTTTTTTTTTATATATAAAAACGATTGATTTAGTTTAAGAGCCCTGCATCAATAAAAAAAAATATATAGAACTGGTACTTGCCAAATCTATTCTTATTTTTAGTAAATTGTGTATGTAGAACAGAGTCATTTCCATATATTTGATATAAAATATTATTCATTGCTGAAAAATCAACAAATCTTTTTATAAAAATATTGGATATGAAAGTCCAGTCTTATGTATGCATTAATAAATGTGGTTGTCACTGTTGAATGGAATCATTCAATATTTGTAATTTATAGAGAATTGTTAGTTTCTTGAGTTCTACATATTAGTCATGAACTTGAACTTTTTAAACTCGTTTTATTGAAAATTTAATGAAATACGAATAGAATAGACTCTACATTAATATTTGTTCTATACGACCCCACAAGTATAAAATATCCACTGTAAGAATATTGACAATATATAAAAAAAAATTTAATACATTAGGTTTAAAAATGCTGTTAAAAATAACAACTGTATTCGCTTCCTAGTTGGAGCTAATATGAAAAAATAAGACAATTTATAATTAAACTCCTTTGAAAGATACATTTTTGATCAATCAAACTATACTTTATCGATCAAATTAATTGAAAACTTCATAACGACGTAAACTCACATACTTCCATTAGTTTTTAATTAAAAAAATAGTAAAATGTTCTAATGAAAATTCATGCAAATATTATTTCCTACCTTTCGAAGAACACCTGGAACTGGAGTATTGTGATCATCATGTGAAATAGTACGCATTATGGGCATACCATTTTCATATTCGCCATCACTATCCATTGAACTAGAACGGGTCTCATTATTTTGACTAAAATAGACACACAACCATTAGAATGCGTGATTAATTTTTATAAATCCCCAAATATTACTTTTTCTTCGTTACTTACTGTATAAAATAATCAATATTGACATAATTTGAAGATCGACCAGGAGATTCTGGATCTGTAACACTTGCTTGACTGCTTAAATGTGCATGTGAACTCATTGGAACAACGCTACCAGGCGTTGATAAATCGTCGCGACTAGATGAAGAGCCTGTACGTCCTGGCTTTATATAAACATATTCATCGTCCCCATTGTCTAGGGGTACAGTATCATATAAATGTTCCTGCTCACTATCTCCGGTCTGGTTAGCTCGGACACTTTCTGAACTTAATGACGAAACTGATTCATAGCTTTTAATCTGCAAATATTTACAAATGGTAATCGATTTGTGTATGTTCTCTAAATCAGTAGTAAACAAAATAAATACGTACAATTTCCGATATGCCCTGTGATGACAGAGACTCTTTAGATCCAACATTACGGCCTTGAGCTATTGATGATTCTGCATCCACCGGTTGTAAGGTTGATCTTGATTTTTTATCTAAACTGCCAGTTGATGCATTATCCGTAAGTTTGGCATTTTTATTTAGACTGCTTGTGGGCGATGTGCCAGCTGCGGTATAGCTTGTTGGTTTACTCTGTCGACTAATAGCAGGCGGACCACTTGTTTGTGCATTGCCGCTCGCTGTTCGCCCCAAACTACCAGTTGGACTGTGTGTGTAGCCTATCTCAGGCCGCTTAGTTTTTTCCAAACTTTCCGTTTTATTTATTTTATGACCCAATTCTTCAAGAAATTCGGAATTATTTATAAACTTGTTCAGTTCAGGCGTTGTCTTTCGATTTTGAGAGAATCCCTTACTTTCGCTCGATTCGGAAGATTTTGACCGCAGAATATCCGATGGCTTGACATTACGTTCTAGGGAATTAGCTGGGCTTTCTGAAGACGACAAATTTCCAGAATTGGAGGGCAAAGGTACAGAACTGCCAGCAAATATTGGATCACGTTTGGGAGAAGAGGAAAGTATTGAACCGGGAATTGTTGGGGGTTCGACTCGTCTGATAATTTTTGGCGGAGGACTGTAAAGGAGAACACACAATTTTAAAGTTTTGAGACGAGACACTTTCGGCGGAAAACCTTTTTCTCTTACCGTGGTGGCATTTTTTTCTTGTTGGCCTCTAATAATGCTGCGGCATTCGATGACGATGACATCGAAGGGGAAAGTGGCGGCGCAGAAGGTTTTCTTTCGAAACTGCTAAATGTAGATGTCATTTGATCGGGAACAATATCAGAACCTTGATCCATAGATAAGCATGGATTATTCTGATCCATGTTTATTTTGCTTTCCTTCACCTCAATAACCGTAACAAAATGTGATGTGTTTTTGGAAGATGATGATGTTGATCGATCGGATGCTGAGGATGATTTTTTGTTGGCTAAACTGCTGATGTCTGCCGTTGAATTATCCTCGTTCGATGCTATCGATGCGGCCAATTCACTAATACACTGGTGTAGTGCTCCATTTTTGCCATTGTCTTTTTCAGTGCCGATATCCTTGTCCTCTTTTTCGCGTTCTTCGCTGGATGTAGATGGAAGATTATTTTTGTCATTTTTACCACCAGATCCAGATGTATATTTATTATCGGTGTTTAATGATAGCCTATTACTTTGTTCCTTGCTAGCATTTTTAGATTCTCTTAGATTTAAGCTGGATTTCTGTAAAGCAAAATATATATTTAATGATGATTATTAAAAATTGAGAATATATCACAGAAAATAAAATGATTACGGGTATGATGGTTTCATTTTAAAAGAGCATCACTCTGATTTGTTGACATTTTTAGAATGGAATTAATAAACAATGTATGGGCAATGAATTCAATTGCAAGGGAAAAACAGATATATATTACACTATATTTATTTAGATTTCTGATGACACATTTATAATGAAGAAGCAATTATAATATATTGGCGCTTTACAATATTTCTAATGTTTAATGTTGTAAATGTTAAATGTCTCCTGGAAATAGAGAATAATTTGCCAATTGTATTTATATAAATTATTTCCACAATATTACTATTTCATATCATCGTATTATTCCGTTCTTAACTGATGACATTTTCCCATATACAGAAATAAATATTTTTTATTCTGCATTTTGATACGATTGCAGATGCGTATAGTCATAGAATTTAATTATAATCAAGAGTATATATATATAATGTGTGGGGTCTCCGCGGAAAATTTCGAGGTGTTACAAAAGTAATGACTTTATTTTTTTTTTCAATCGTTAAAAGGTTAAAAATCATACCCTGTTTGCATTGTTGGGGATATCAATTTTGTTGAATTGAGACAGATATTCACGATTTTCAGCAACAAAATATGTCTATAATTGTAATCATTTTGTTGAATTGAGACAGATATTCACGATTTTCAGCAACAAAATATGTCTATAATTGTAATCACTAAATCGACAAGTGCATGGGTAAACATTTACAAAATAATCCGACTGAAATTCCTAAACTAGACCTTTTTCCTCTTTACTAATGCAATCAAAGAGAACTTCGTGAATATTTCACTTTATATTTGTCTATTCACAGATTAGATTACACGCAAAGATCTCACAATATAGAATCGTATAAATTTTGTATTTGAGACACATTGAACTGCTGCTATAAAAAATTTTGTTTCATTAATTTGTAGTTGCTGTGCTATCCTTGAAATTAAATACCTATTTTCGTACACTATTAAATTACATGATCAATAATAATATCTCAGATATCAGCTACTTTGTTTTGTATTCCCTCCGCCTTTACATGACTCACGCACTATTGAATTTTAAATTGTGTTTGAAGACAGAATATCGAAATATGTATTTATATTCAATTGATTCGACCGACCGAGCGACAGACAGACAAGTGTTTGGTTGGTTGCTTACTTACTTGCCCACTGCTGTGAGCTGAATGCAAACGGTTTTAGGAAATGATAGCGAAAAATATTCTTCATTAAGTGTTCATTAACTCTGTGGCATATGAATAAAAATAAAATATAAGTGTAGATGAATGAATGGATGGATGTATGCATGTTCGTAACATAATGTCGGTAGACTTTACCCCGCGCCACAGTTTAAACTTCTCCTTAAACGAAGACATTTCGTCTGGTATTTTTTGCACTGGCCACTTTTTATGATTGATGTCGTCACTGGTGATTAGGATGTGCTGGTGCCACGTTCAGATTTTCTATATATACTTTCTATGGAGGCAGTGGAGTATATAGACACTATGCAACAGACACCACTAAACGATAAACACATTTTTTTAAGAAAGAAACTCTTTTTCTTTTCCAAACACAGACACACACAAAGGCACGAATTACTCCACCCTGTTGGTGTACATTTTATATTTGCAACAATATATTATGGGTGGATGGATAACTGGATCAATGACTTGGTTTGTTATTTGGTTTTAGCAATTTATATTTATGAAACACAAATTCGTCTAATTGCCGTCGAAGAAAATTTAAAACAAGAGACGACGATGCAAAGTATAGAACGACGTTTTCTTTAATTAATGACAGAAATTACGACTAATAAAGAGTGCGGGTAAACCCTACGAAGACATTGTATTAACTGAACAATTCATATTGTTCGCTTCGTTTCGTCGTGGTATGATGGTGGCTGAATAGTTCTATGTCGACGGAGAGAAGGAGGAGGGCAACTGAAAATGCAGATAACAGCAAATAAATGCAGCATAGAGCAAGGAATTTCGTAAAAAGGAATTACAAAATGAGAGAGATATAACAACTCCATGGAAAAGGGTGCAATTGGATGGATGGCCACTATGGACAGACGCCTCCTCTCGCATGGAACCGAGCTAAAAGAGTATGGGGAATCATCTCTCCCGTTTGATTTGGGAATGTACAAACCCATAGACAAATAGATTCATACACATGTACAAGTGTTTGTAGGATGACGATGATGGTGTTGTTGTGTGTTCCAGTCATATCTCGCGTCAACTGTTGTCCAAAAACGAAAAACCGAAAAGAGAAACGACGACTACGACAATTGAGATAAGATAAACAATTTTCTTTGCTTTTTTGTGTAATATTTTTATTATGATTATTATTGTAGTGCCTTGTTATTGTTTTCGTTGTTGTTGTTGTTTTATTTTTTGTAATTTGCTTTTTTCTTACTCTTTCGTTCGTATATTCGATTTTGTTGTACTCCTCCCACCACCCTCTTTTTGGGTGGAAAATATTAACGCCACAACAAAATAAAAAAACAACAACAATCATAAAAGTCACACAAGATAATGGTTGCAATAATTATTAATTGCCGTTACTGAACGCCTGGTAACTGAAGTTGCTAAACATTACCAGGTTATTGTGTTAACACATGCAACCTCATTAAATGATTCCGTCCTGATGGATCTATAGATACCACTGACATTTGAAGTCCGTTGCAATGTGTACGTTAAACATATTTGAATTTCATTTCAATATAATGTTGGGAATTCATCTTAATATGCACCTTTGCATTGGTATTTAATGTTACTTACAATGTCGATGTATTGTAGAGATTAGAAAATTTCATCTTAAAAATCTGACATCGGTTTCCGTTTTTTTCTAAAAATCGTTTAATTCTAAAAAACTTGGACCTTGATAGGAATTTATTTGTTATGAAAAGTCATAACAATATTTCATCTGTCATTGAAACTTTATCTGAAATGCCGCACTATTTTGTCAATCCAATATATTTCAACATTTAAATATTGTATTAATATTCAATACTGCCACAAAGATTGCAAAAATATAATCTAAATATTTTACGTTGCGATAATTGTTTTCACCTCGAGTGGTTTAAAAAGTCCGAATATATTTAGATGTGCTGTTCCAGTATTACAGTTATTATCTTCTTTGGTGTTTGTATTCATTATTTAAATATTTGAGGTAAGTAAACAATTAGTTTTTAAAAAATATTTGTTTCCTTACCGAGCATCGATCTCCGCTACTGTCTTCCCTTTCGCCACCACCGGACTGTTCTGAGTGATCACCAGAAACGGAAGACTTTGAACCATTATTTTCAGCATTTGTTGCCGCCTCGAACAAACTTGTAGGATCACCACCAGATTCCCGATATTTTTCCACATCGGAAAGCAATCGCTCCAAATATTCCACATATAATGTTTCTTGTTCCAATTCTTTGGTTAATTCAATTATTTTTGCTTTATGTCTTTCAAGGCTGGCACGAACATCCTGTTCCCAAGCATCGGATAGAGAACTCTGTGGGAAGCGTTCCATCCACAATCGTTGGAAGTCATTGAAAACACTCATGGTTTCTTTATCGGTTTGTTTTGACTTCTAGTCTCTTAAATTGCGAATTTCATTTGTTATAAATTATATTTCTAATAAATAAATGCTGTTTGGAGTTTTGATTTCCTTTTTCGTTTGTTAAAGACGTTTCTTTGTTTTTGTTTTGTTCTCGTTGGCTCAAAATAATAACAACGGCAGTAGCAACAACAAATCTCGCCTCTCTTTCTCTTTAAAATATATATCGCTCATACTCTCACTCTCACGAATCCTGATTCCTAATTACGCACCACCACCACCAATTTTATTCATTACCGATGGGATAGGATGCAGGATGCTTATCATAGATTATACGATTTTTGTTTTTTTTTTTTTTTTTTTGCTAACCCAAGAGATAGATGGCACAAAATGTTCTCTTTCCACACTGGGAAACGCGAAAAAAACACTATCATTAATATTTTATTAATATCACAATTATGATTTTATTTGTTGTTGTTGTTTCTATTGCCGTATTATAATATACATGGGCGAATTCACTACAAGGTCAACCGAAGCAAAAAGCCCAACTTTAAAGGATGTACGTAATGCAACAATAACAACAGCAGGCATACAATGCATCTACCCGTGCGTGTGGTACAAAATGAGCAAATACGTAAACGAACGAACGATGGATGCAAGGTACGCAAATCGTTTCGTTTCAAGCCAATTGCTTGTCTATTTCAAGCCACTTCATCAGCTTTGCAACACCACTCGCTGTCGAACAAAGTTAAAACACACAAACGAAAATAGTAGCAAGTTATGCACTTTCCAATTCGATTTTAGTTAGGGTTCAAGTGATGGTGGTGGTGGCGGAGTAAATAACTGGCACACCTTTCTTTTGAATTTTTGTTTTGTGTCGTTTCGTTCTGTAATGGTAGTGGTGTGTTGATTGATTTTTTACATTTACAATTATACATTGGTGCGCTGGTTCAACGCAGCATCTTTTTTACACGGCCACTTCACAAAAATTCACAACTGAAAATGCTTTTATTGTCGCACAGATTGAAGCTTAGTACATTTATTGTCTGAAAATAAGTAAACAGTGAATTCCTTTTTGAATTTTTTGCAATTAATTTCTAGTTTTTTTGACAATTTTTTTAAGAAAACACAGCACACATAGACTTTTTCTCGATTGTATATAATCGAATGGCGTAAAGAATCGACTTTGCATTTTTTGTCGATAATTACAGAAACAATCGACTAATGTGTCATCGAATTTAATCATCTTATGAATATTATCGATTACCATAAATACATAAAAAGACAATTCCGCAAGCTGAAAGGGGAAGGCACAATCAGCGCGCTACTCGTTTTTCATTTCACTACAAGACGTACCGCAGTTAATATATTTACATGATCAATAATAATATCTCAGATATCAGCTACTTTGTTTTGTATTCCCTCCGCCTTTACATGACTCACGCACTATTGAATTTTAAATTGTGTTTGAAGACAGAATATCGAAATATGTATTTACATTCAATTGATTCGACCGACCGAGCGACAGACAGACAAGTGTTTGGTTGGTTGCTTACTTACTTGCCCACTGCTGTGAGCTGAATGCAAACGGTTTTAGGAAATGATAGCGAAAAATATTCTTCATTAAGTGTTCATTAACTCTGTGGCATATGAATAAAAATAAAATATAAGTGTAGATGAATGAATGGATGGATGTATGCATGTTCGTAACATTATGAATATTATCGATTACCATAAATACATAAAAAGACAATTCCGCAAGCTGAAAGGGGAAGGCACAATCAGCGCGCTACTCGTTTTTCATTTCACTACAAGACGTACCGCAGTTAATATATTTTAATTCCAAGTACAACGCACATCAAATTGAAGCGTTGATCTTATCGCCACCTTGTGGTTGTCATATTGTCGAAGTAAAAATCAAATGGCCTGTTCCCGTATTGCATGAATCTACTACTTTTTATTACGGTGGCGAATTTTCCTTTATGATATCGAAGAAAATAGTAAAATCTAGTAGATTCTTGTAATACGGTAACATACCAATTATATCGAAGAAAATAGTAATATCTAGTAGCTTCTTCTAATGTAGAATGTACAAATTTTAGCTATGTTAACAATTTTTCCATTATAAAATCGAAAACTTATTAAGTTTCGGAACAGACCCACTATTTACAATTTGTTGTTCGTCGAAGAATTATACAGAAATATATTCAATGATATACGCAATAACACATAATGTTGGTCTGTTCCAGAATTGAAAGAATCTACTAATTTTTACTATAGTATGTTTAGGTTAGGTTAGGTTTGGGATGTACGGCTGTTGTAACAACCGTCCACTCGGAGACTATGTCCATTGTGATCATCCATTATGTATAGGTGTACCTATAAAGAGAGAGAAGAAAAGATAGTGGAAGAGTAGAGAGAGAGGTAGTCAGAATAGGAGGGAGCGGAAGCGGAAGAGACATTATTTTAGCCAAGTCAATTTTTTGACAAAGCCTAGAATTAGGTTAGGGTCTATTTTGGAGAAGAAGACTAGATTATCAATTTCATAACATCCAAACTGTTTATGTCTTCTGCTGATCAGCGATGGACATTTGCAAAGGATGTGCTCAATTGTTTCCACTTCTTCTTCATCCTCACATAGACGACAGTAATCCTCTCCACTGGAGTCCCACTTAGAAGTGAGAGATCTAACTTTGCAGTGACCAGTAATGATCCCCACAACGATCTTAATCTCCCTCTTGTTGTGATCCAGCAGCGAAGACGTTCTTTTATGAGAGAATTCTGGCCAGATAGATTTAGAGATTCTGCATGCAGGTTCCCTTAGCCATCTGTTGCCGACTACCTCGCAATAGAACGCACGGATTCTGCCAATGAAATAGCTAATAGGGGGTTTCACAGATCTCTCAATCAGAAGACTGGACGACTGTGACCCCCCTCGAGCAAGCTCGTCGGCTATCTCATTCCCTTCAATATCGTTATGTCCTGGAACCCAGCATAACCCAACTATTTGACGTATATCATTCAGAGCGGTCTTACAATCATGAACTGCTTTCGAGTTTATAGTATGCGACTTCACCGCTTTCAGGGCCGCCTGACTATCTACGTAAATAGTCACCGGTCCTGTAAAGTCTGTATTAAGTGCTTTTACTATCTCGGCCGCTTTCGTGATTGCAAGAATCTCTGCTTGAAAAACGCTACAATCATTGTTGAGTTTATATGAGTTTCGTATACCTAATTCCCTGCAGTAGACGCCTGCGCCAGTGCCTTCTTCCATCTTGGACCCGTCTGTGAAGATTGACAGACCTGGCAGAGGTAGGGAGCCACTAGTCCAGGATTCCCTGTTAGGAAATTCGACTTTAATGTCATTAAAATCCCTGTGGGGGGGAATATAATCACTGATATGACTATCCCCCCTAAAAAGGTCATAACTTGACGTTATGTTTAGAATGCTGGCATGACCATAGCTCCGCGATTTCAAGGCATCTGTTTCCCGGAGTCTCAGGGCACACCTAGCAGCCTGGAATTTGATCAGAATGTCCAATGGTTGGAGATTCAAGATTGCGTTCAAGGCTGCTTGTGGTGTGCTTCTTAATGCTCCAGTGATCAGAATTGAAGCCGATCGCTGTACTAAGCTCAGTCTTGTCAGCAGCTTCTTTTTATTCACCCCCTGCCACCAGACAGACATCCATAGGTAAGTATGGGTAAGACAATCGTCGTATACAGCCAGTGTATAATTCCGGGTCTCAATCCCCAACTCTTGCCTATGGAGTTCTTGCATGAATAGAGTGCCATCAAACCCTTCTTAGAGCGTTCCTCGACATTCCTATTCCACAGTAACTTGCGGTCAAGGACAGTGCCAAGATATTTAGCTTCATCAGAGAGAGTTAATGTCACTCCACCAAGTGATGGCAGACGGAAACTAGGAACTTTGTATTTCCTAGTGAAGAGTACCAGTTCGGTTTTTGTGGGGTTTACACCAAGACCTTTGGTGCAAGCCCAATTTGACAGGGTTGAAAGAGCACCCTCCAGGATGTCTGATATTGTCGTAATAAACTTACCCCCAACCAACAAGACTACATCATCGGCATAGGCTACAACCTTTATCCTGAGATGATTGAATTTCATAAGTATCTCATTTATCACCAGAAGCCACAAAAGGGGGGAAAGAACTCCACCCTGAGGTGTGCCTCTGTTGACAGATTTCCTCACGGAACTCTCTCCTAGGGATGAGTTGATAATTCTGCTTTCCAGCATTCTATCAATCCATTCCGTAAGGAGTGGTTTCCATAATGTCATCCTCGTCCGACAAGAGAGAGTCATCCCAGAGCTGATTTGGGATGCTCTCCTGACTGAGGCGGAAGGAGCCGGTTTCCTCTAGAAGGTCGAGGAGAAGATTCGACTGCCTCTCCAGGCTCGCATTTACGTCATCGAGAGATGGACAGGTGGCTAAAGATAGGTCCAGGGGAATTGCTTGGGTCGTCAACACTTTGGGGGAATCATTGATGTCTGACCTTGTAGAGTTCGAGACTGAGGGTGCCAAGGCAGCCACACCAACATCAGTCGAAGGTTCGCATTCATTGTTGTTTTGTTTTTTGGGGGGGGGTGTATTAAAAATTGGCTCCATAAGAAGTGTTGTTAGTGAGGATTTGAGGTCGACCATGGCATAGCCTCTTACCATGGAAAGGACTTGGCAACTAAGCCTGAAACACTTGTTGAGGCGCCCAGGTATCAACAAGGCTCCGTTCTAATACAGTCGGTACCCTGACTGCAAACCGTGGAACGCTGATAGGCACGAGGTCGCATGACACCCCAGCGTTAGGGGAGACACTTTAAGAAGGTAGTGTCCCAAACCTTGAGATGGATATATGGGAGGGGCGCCATTCTCGCCTCGTCGACTCAGGGATCATTGGCACTCGGTCATTTCCTCCGAGACTCTCCCCCTGAGCCCGCTGATTGTCCGCGACTGTTTATTGGTTATTAACAGTTACCCAACGAATGGTGTTGGGCTTTCCACTATCCGCAACCTGTGGACGCGTCCGATAGCATTCAGCTTTGCTCCCCGTAGGCGGAGATGTAGTATGTTTACATTTAACCGGATTTCATTAACCCAGTGGGTTTCAATTGTCAATTCCTTTGCATATATGTCAAATAAATCCTCATAAACTAGGTTAACCCGGTAAAAAGTTCTAATGTATATGCCGTTTAATGTCTGATCCAGAACCCGCAATAATGTACAAATTTTTACTACGTTAATAATTTGCCCTTTATTATACCCATTATTTGCAATTTGTTGTTCGTTGAACAATTATACAAACATATTCTTTTTTATCCACAATAACAGTACGTTTACATTTAACCGGATTTCGTTAACCCAGTGGGTTTAAATTGTCAATTCCTTTGCATATATGTCAAATAAATCCTCATAAAGTAGGTTAACCCAGTAAAAAGTTCTAATGTATATGCCGTTTAACACTTATGTTCCCGTACTGCAAGAATCTACTAATTATTATTATTTTTCTGATATCATAAAGGAAAAAATGTTATCGTAGTAAAAATTTTACATTCTTGCAGGTTCTGGAACAGACCAATAATTGTTCTGTTCCCGTACTGCAAGAATCTAATATTTTTGTACTACGATAACACTTTTTTTCCTTTATGGTATCAAAAAATAGTAAAAACTCGTAGATTCTTGCAGTATAGGAACAGACCAAATATAATTTACATTAGGTTGGGGCAAAAGAAATCCATTATTTTTATATGAACTAACTAACATGCTTCGGAATGTCTGACTTGGGCCAAATATGGACCGTTTTGTTGTATGATTTGTAGCCGTTTTAAAGCCATTTCTCGATCATTTCTACGATTTTTTCGACGACCGGCCTATCTGTGCGAAGTGCATCTTAAACATTAAAAATTCCTGAACGGAATCTTCGAAAATAAAATTGCACATAACTGACTGCTACAGTATCGGAACCATAAACACCATTCACAATTTTAGTCGATTGGCTTGCATTTTCGCCTCTGTTAAAGAAAAACTGTAAAATGTACTGACTTTTCTATATGTTCTAACTCACAACTGAATGCACCAAACAAAAAATAAAATATTTTTTTACTACAAAACGAGCATAAATCTGAAATTGTTTGATCGATATTTTACAATAGCTCTATCAGTACAGCCATCTGCCGAAAAAATAATGGATTTCTTTTTCCCCAACCTAATATATATTTATTGGTTTAAACCTTAAATCTTGGAACTTTACACTTTATGTTCAGCTGTATATGTATAAACATATGTCCCTCCTATGTATATGAGGGACGCAATGTTTTTCCGGCTTTATATATTTTAATTCGTTATCAGTGTCTACAAATATTACTGTAATTCTGTTCGACTACAATATATGTATAGCCGTATGTATTCAATGCATCTGTTATAAGGTGTTATTGTCAACAATTTGAAAAAATGATAGGATCGAAAGTTCGAAACTTAAACAAATACATATATGGGGTTTCAGAGAAATAGAAAGAAACGACACCTTATTTGCAATATATGCATTCAATAAAATACACTTGACTAATATTTGTTTATGATATATTTCGAACAAAATAAGCGCTGTTTAAATATTTTTTATATTTTATACCTACACACATATATTCTTGTGAGTATTGCTCATACTAACTTTTCCACACAGATCAGAATCATTTTCCATAAAGGCATCAAATCGTAATCTAATACCAAAAATATATACATATTTCAAATCAGTAAAAACGGGTGTGCTGTTTTTTTAAATTCTACATATTTTGTTTATTGAAAAATGTGTTGTCATTCCCCTCCCATCTTGTGTGAGAGCAGATATTTTTTTTCAGATTATTTGAAGAGATAAGAATATGTAAGCTTATACTTATTTTCCCAAAGGTATACCATGCATTTAGTTAGTTGAATACTTCTTGAGGCTACGGAAGTGACTAGAAGGAGAGCGTGCAAGCTGAACATTTTATATTATTCCTTTGCGGTTTTCATTTTTGGTTTTCTTTACAAAAACAAAACAAAAGCCATAACCAGTGATAAGGTTAGCTGTCTTTTCCGCATATAAAATGGTGGTAGCTGGGTTTCTGCTCTGGTAGTCTTCAAACAATATTCATCGTCGCAATTTGTTAAGCTATAGTCAAAGTGTTAGTCACACAAAATGGAAGTACCACCACCGGCGTGTTTAAAACGTTCTTTATACGTTCCCAATAAAACGTTAATGGGTCCAGGACCCTCAAATTGTTCACAGCGTGTTTTAACAAGCCTTATGAATCCAGTATTGGGACATTTACATCCAGAATGTTTAGAGGTAATATTATTAAAATAATTACAGTTTGATTGATATTAATTTAATATTATGTATGTGTGTATATGAAATTATAATAATAAGTGAAAATTGTATTTCATAACTAAAATGTTATAACGTATGTCAACAAATCTCTTAATTTTTTTCTCACAATAATTAGGGATTATGTGTTTGTATGAGATCTTAACGAGATGCTTGATAACAAATGTCTTATCTCTTATAATAAGGCAGGGACACTTAAGAGTAAATAAATCGCAAAATAAAAACAAATTAGCGGTTGAGTTCTAAAATGTCTTAATATAAATATTTCATGTAGCGTACACAACAAATCATAATTCTAATACAGAGTTAACCAGCCAATGTTAATTTAATTTATTATTTTCATTTGTCCCCGATTTTCAACATTAAAAGTGTTATGGGAATGACAAGAAATGCATTTCTACAAAAAAATATGTGTTTTATAGCTGAACTACTTAGTGGAATATTGTTGTATGATTTTATCATTCGAAATTCAGAACTTGATTCATAAAACATATCATATACCCATGGTATTATTATTACAAGGTGGGGCACAGCTACCAACTGATTACAACTCTTTCTCAAGGTGGTTTGTTCCATCAAATCAAAATGCATATTTTGTGTATGTGCGTGTATTGTTTTGAACAATATGTTAAATATATTGAACAATTTTCAAATTTAATTGAAATGAAAATTAGGTTTTTAACGCGTCCGTCTGGAAGTAATTACTTTGTTATGGATGAAACAAATATTTCAGGGTATTCCCTACATAGTTGTTTTTTTGTTATTCAACTGTCCTACCTTGTAGTACTGTGCCATGTCCTGTACCTACATTTTATTTATATGGTGTTTACATATTAATGAATTATTACAACTATTCTAGTACATATTAACTTTAGTCCGGGTAGTTAAACTATACACATTATTCGTATCCCCAAATTGTGGAGGAAATATGCATTGTCCGTCCGTGATAAAATGTGTTTTTATATTTATGAAAATAGCTCCAATTTTTATAGGTAGGATTAAATATATACATACATATGAATTGGTAGCGCCAGACAAACGATAAGAATAAACACATTAGCCCCATTAATAATCTGTTCAATTATTCTTTTATTTATGGGTCTGTTGCAGATAATGGATGAAATAAAGGAGGGCATCAAGTACGTTTTTCAGACAAAGAATGATGCTACAATGTGCATAAGTGGTTCAGGTCATGCCGGCATGGAAGCAGCTTTATGTAATCTAATAGAAGATGGCGATGTTGTTTTGCTTGGAACCACTGGATTGTGGGGTCACCGAGCTGCAGAAATGGCCAAACGTTATGGCGGCGATGTCCGTTTCGTAGAATCACGTTTTGGTCGTTCATTGAAGTTGGATGAAATTGAATTTGCATTTGAAGGCCATAAACCGAATATTTTCTTTTTGGCCCAGGGTGATTCCTCTACGGGCATTTTACAACGCCAACTGAAAGAAATAGGAGAGATTTGCCGCAAATATAATTGTCTTTTTGTTGTCGATACTGTGGCGTCCTTGGGTGGTACCGAATTCTACATGGACAATTGGTCGGTCGATGTGGCCTATACTGGGTCACAAAAAGTTTTGGGAGCTCCACCCGGTATTACACCAATATCGTTTAGCAAACGTGCTATGCAACACATTGTCGAACGTAAGACAAAAGTCAAGGTATACTATTTCGATGCCACTCTCATTGGCCAGTACTGGAATTGTTTTGGAGGCTCCAGAATTTATCATCATACCATTTCTTCTACATTGTTGTATGGCCTGCGAGAAAGTTTAGCCCAACTTTGTGCCCAAGGACTAACGTCGGTCATAATGCGACATGAGCAATGTTCGTATCGTCTGCAACATGGAATAAGTGAACTCGGTCTGGAAATGTTTGTGCCGAATGCCAATGATAGATTGCCTACTGTGAACACCATTAAAGTTCCTGCTGGAGTTGATTGGCGTAAAGTAGCTGAATATACAATGCGAAAGTATGTAAACTGAATAGTATGTATCTTTATAGTATATTATTTGAATCATCTTTTATTCATTGTAGATACAATTTGGAGATAAGCGGTGGATTAGGACCGACTGTAGAGCAGGTGTTCCGCATCGGCTTAATGGGTGAAAATGCCACGTTTGAAAGAGTTGATTTAGTATTGAATGTGTTGCACGAAGCTATACAAAGTTGTAAGCGAGATGTCAATGAAAAATCAAAAATATAAACTACGAAATTTAATATATTCGTATATTCTTATAATATAATTAATAATCCGTCAACCACAATTATATAAAATACTTATTATTGTATATAAATTGATATACCTATTACTAATAAAACAATTTACTAATCCATTTATCAAATGATAAATATTTTTATTATTACACAACTAAATAGAAACCGAACAAAAATAAAGGTAAATTGAAGTAATAAATGTCTAGCAAGGATATTTTAAAAATGAATTTGTTTGTCGTTTCCAATATTAATTATTATTTGTTAGAATGTTATTTTAGATGTTAATGACAATAATATATATAGATTAATCGAATGAATAAAAAATAAAATAATAAAATTGTTGACAATTAAAAATTTTGCAATAAATTGTTGACAATTATTTTGCAATAACTGAGCGAGGTTAAAAACTAAATAACACTAGACACGTTAACTAAATGTGTTTTAAAATGCCCATCATTTAAAAGAATGATGTTATTCCCTTACCCTTCGGCGGACAATGCCATTCATTCCCACTAATAAATAGTTGTTTTTTATAAAAACAACAAACTGGGATTCCTGACTATCTTGCAAAAACAATATATATATATGTATATATAATGAAATGATTTATAAATTATAAATAAATTTTGACGTGAATAAATCGTACCTAACCAGGGCTGCCAGATTTTTTTTTTTGAAAATCGTCAAAATGACGATTTTTTTATCAAAAATCGTCAAAAATTTAAATACGCACATTTAGATATATTTACATATATTTTTTTATTAAAAGGAACATAAAAGAGGTATTCAATTTATTAAACACGTTTTTTAAGCTAATCAAGAAATTCATTTATTTTATAAATAAATATTTGAATAGTCATTTCGACTTTAATAAAGTCATTTCAACATGTCGGTTTTAATTAACGTATCATAACAATTTGTTTTGTTAACTTTTAAATAATCTTTGGTATAAATTTCTCCATTGAATCCTTATTGGGGGAATTTCGACTTTTCGTTTTATTAAGATTTACTTGGCTGAAAACACGCTCAACATTTCCTGAGGAATGGGGTAATACCATTACCTTCTGTACAAATTTAGTTATTATAGGAAAAACATATGAACCATCACCACGTTTCAAATCAAATATTGCATTCCAAAAACGAAATAGATCGGTTTCATCATTTTCACAAATCAAAATCAAACAACCTTAGTTCGCGAAGTTCTGAATCCAATTTTTGTTTTCATCTTCGTTCACAAAATGTGGAAATTCTTTAAGGATATCGAAAAATGAATTATTCTTTTCATTACTAATATACGTGGGACTTATCATAGATACAATTTTAAAAATGCTTTCAAATCGAATCTTTTTAAAATTGTAATAACTTTGTATAAATTGAAACTTAAATTGAATATAACAACTTTTCCGTTCACCAATTTTCTTCAATTTGCCCGTGTCAAAAACAACAACCGTTAACTTTTATTTGTTTTGTTGATGTCTACCCAGAGAACGGCACAGCTGATTGGTAGTTTTTCATCTATCTGGGTAAACGTAAACTGTTGTTGGCTTTGTAACAATACAAAGTATACCTCACACACATATCCAAATATTCATATTCTTTTTACTTTTTCTTTCGCTTTATACATTTTTGATGTTGCCATAACAAAAAGAATCCAAATATTGCAATATTACTAAAATGACTAAAAATGAATCTTTCTAAGCAGTGCCAGATTAACGGCATAATCAAGGCTTTAACGACATATTTTTTTATATCAATTGAAAGACATAGCTCTGTGTTATAAAATTTCCTTAACATAAAGTTAACTCTATATGAGCAAATATGATGTTCAAAAGAAAAACCAAAATAAAAGACATCCAAAGCACCTCATACTGTCAACAAATTCAATTTGTGCGTTATTATATCTAACCTCAATACCAGAAGCAACAAAGGACATGGATTTCGTCTTATTTACATTAATATACAATTTATTTTCCATCACCCAATCTGCCAACGTTGAACTGGCATGATTTACAACATTTTGCATCACATCAAGGGCAACAAAATCAAACGATTTTCATCTATACTGTAATATATTATATTACAGTCAAACATTGTGTATAAGACTTGGGCATAACAAGCCACAATATACAAAATTTAATTTATAAGCTGCTATAATTGTAACATGATTGAAACCTTAATGAGTTAGATGTGTTTGAAACAAATAAGTTAGATATGTAAATGTTCTGCCATATTAGAAATATATCTATGAAGATACACACTTCCACCAACAAATTATCTCCTCCCAATGTTTTTATTAATAAGAAATGTAAGAAAAATATGAATTTGAAACAATCTAAACATGTTTTAAATGAACTGTATAAATATAAAGAAATGTGTGTGTGTGTGTTCGCTTTTTATTTTTAAGCAAACCAACTAATTCACATTTTTATGTTGTTTTAAAATTTAAAAACGACATAGATTTTTGCTTGAGATATTTTCCAGGGAGTAATCAATCACACGTCTAAACAAACAATGCTCCTTCAATTGTATTCTCCCCAAAGTGGAGACGTATAATAATTGTGAAGCTAAAGATTTTCATTCAGAATGTTTCTCGAGTAGCACTTAGAAGAAGAAGGGTTTTGGTTTGCTCCAGCATTCAAAGACGAGTTTTGTCGGTATTGTGTTAAATTTCCGACTAAGCCAAATTTTGTGATAGATTGTCTCTTACTCTGTTAAAAAAAATTTAGAATCGTCCGTAATCCAAATGTTTAAAACAAATTGTCAATAAATAAAACGTCGGTAGTGAAGGTGAAACAATATTCCTACAATGGCCTTTTTGGCTTTGTTGCACAAAAAGCGAAATAAATTAAATTTCCTGACAAGTTTAATTCTTATGAATATAAAATTCTCCAAATTTGTATGTATATGTTACATTAGAATTTAGAAAATATAAAAAAATGGAAAACATGAATTAAAAGTAAATATATCTGGGTTCATACTATAGTCAGGAGAAATATAATTAGTTTTTCTATTTAGATCTATATGAGATTCACGCAAATACGTTACAATTTTGGTGTAAAACAAGAAACAGTTTGAAAAAATAAACTCTGTTGATATAAATTAAGAATAGTGCTGTATGAACGGGTTAATTCATGTACGTAATTCTGAGAGCGAACTACGTTGTTCGAATGCCCATAAGAACATGGCATTAAATTCATTTGCAATTCAAATTTTAAAATTAAAAAAAAGGTTCTCAAATTCCAAATGAAATAAAATTTTTAAATTACAAGTGAAATATTTATGCTTCCTTTAACTCTGTATATACTTTTTATTTTTATAGCTTGGTCATTGCATGTATGCCCTAAAAGAGATTAAACTATTTTTATACAATTGCCATCTCCTTCCTCCCATGATAAATAACAAAACACATTTATAGAGATATTTGTTTTAAAACTAAATTTAGTTTTATTTTCTTTTCATAAATCAAACTTTAAAACAGTTCTTTCTCATGTACTGTTTGATTTTATTAATCAAATCAAATAAAAACTAAAAATCACACAGATGTTTTAACCTTGTTTCTGAGCGAGCTCACGGGCCTTGGCGCGTTCCAACTTGGCAATGCGAGCCAAACTCTTGGAGCCCAAGATACCACCACCCCAGTGTCTGCGGATTTCATCATGACGATCATTGTAGTTGGTCTTGATGGCTTCGACAATCTTGCCGAAGTTAGCCTTGTCGTTGGCTTCAACGTTGGTCAAGGCCAAGGCAGTGCAGGTCTTGCGACGGACCAACATACCGAGACGAGCCTTGCCCTTAACAATGCAGTATGGGACACCCATTTTGCGGCACAAAGCAGGCAAGAACAATACCAACTGTAATAGAAAAGAAGGAGATACTTGTATTAAACTGTTACCAAAAAATGCGGGCATACATAAAAAAAAACATTTTATTCTTCGTTGCTAAATCAGCATGTCAATTTTCCACAATTCGAAAGAATCTCGTAAGATTCAAACACTTCAGTTGAAGAAATTCAAGTTTAACATCATATGTAAACAACGAATCACTAATGTTTATGACGCAAAGTCTATTGTTTATATTGTGGCTTGAAGCCGGTCTTACCTCAAGAGGATCAACATCGTGAGCGATGACGACCAATTGGGCCTTCTTTTGTTCAACCAACTTGGTGACAGTGTTGGTACCGGCACGCACAAAGGTAGGCTTCTTCTTGGGTTGGACATCCTTGCCCTTAGCCTTGGCTTCGGCGATCTTCTTCAAGCGTTGCTTCTTAGCAATGGCTGATTCGGGGCGGTATTTCTCCAACAACTTGAACATCTTGACGGCGGTGGTCTTGTCAAGAGTTTGGCTGAATTGGTGGATTGGTGGTGGGACCTTCAAACGCTTTTGCAAAACAGCCTTTTGGCGTTGGATACGGATGTACTTGGGCCATCTGACGAAGCGAGACAAATCTCTCTTGGGTTGGACATTTTGACCTGCAACAAAAAACAATTACATTTACATATTGTTTAATAATTCACTTTTGTTCTCCGTCAAAACTTACCGATGCCAAAGTTCTTGGGACGCTTCTCAAAAAGTTGATTAACGACTTTCTTGACAACAGGTTTCTTAACAGCCAAAGGAGCTGGGGCAACCTTCTTGGTCACTGGCTTCTTCTTTGGTCTGGGCTATAAAACACAACAGTAAACAAACACTGGGATAAGTAAACCAACATTCCGCACTTAATTCACTGTGCACCATAACAATTTCTTCACAAAATTTATTAAAAACTGGAGTGCACCGGGTAAACATACCTTCTTAACAACCATGGTGATATTTTTATTCAAAGATGTTTATGAAAAAAGCAGATATTGGCGCGGGCCTAAATCGACCAGCCTTATTCTCTGCCTGTCAAAAAGGAAAGGAGTTGAGACAACGGAAACGCTGTACATGTCAGCGAAATGTCAAAATATTCCACATGTGCGCCATCTGACAACAAATTATCGTTTGAATATGTCATAAATACAACACTGTAACAATAATGAACACAGCCACAAGATAGAACATAAAGCACGAGCGAACTTACGTAGCGTAAAGCAGATAAGTTTTCTACAAAAAAAAAAAAAATGATTGAATTGAATTGAATTAAATTGACTTCTGACTACTCGTTTTGATAATTCAAATTGTTTTTGTCTATATATATACATATATATAACATTAGCTTTCCCGCATTCTGCCAAAATGGTCAAGTTTTCTTATTGCAATTTTTGTATTTAAAATGACCATAGCATCCTAAATATATATATATATAAACTTGTAAATCTACTCGATTTCTATATACGTCACCTTAATCATGTTCACAAATCCAGTGTGAAGATTAATTGAAATTTGAGATCGAGTGGATTTCGTAAATCCATTTGAAGCACATTTACGTACAATACAAATATCAGGATATAGGATTCATTTACTCAAACCTGCATAATATTCGTCGTTTATCATACAATGATTAAATGATTTCTTTAAGTAGTCATATCCTACCACTATATTCTACAGTTAAACGGCATATACACTAGAACTTACAGGGTTAACCAACTTTATGAGGATTTATTTGACCTATATACAAAGGAATTGACAATTGACAATTAACGAAATCCGGTTAAATGTAAACGTACTATAATACCATATCTACGTAAGATGTATTGCTGTAATATTTATTTACCAAATTTTATTCGTAAGCGACTTGCTTTTGCATTGCTTATGTCTCGTATTAGCAACTGCCTTGAGGTAGTTTCTGGTGGCAGTCAAGAGAACATGAAGAAAATTGCAAAACTTTACAATTTGGTTCTGCGCTTTCTTATATGTTTAAAGCGAAGGGATCAAGTTACAAATTATTCATTACAATTTTTGGGTGTAGCCATGGTATTCCCTACTGGATTTTGGAAAGAAATCATAAACTTTCATTCATTTACCGACTTCCTTCATCTTTGAGTATATTTTCGTACCTTTCAACAATCTTTAAAAATGAGTACATTGCGTTTGCTATGAACCAAGAGTGATCTACTTTTTACAAGAGGCTGAACAAATTGTAAATAATACTTTTGTAAATTATTATTATTATATTTGGGGAACCAGTTAACTCTGTTATCAATATTGTTAAGTTTTTAATTATTGGTACTGATTGTACGGCAAGAATATACTACTTTTTACTACGATAACGAAATTTCTTTTATGATGTCAAAGAAAAAATCTAGTAGATTCTTGCAGTACGGGAACAGATCATATATTAGAATTTATTGTAATGTAATTATTTTGCATTATTCTGTATGAAATAAAATAAATAAATGAGCGCCAATTATTTTAAAAACAAAATACTATACCATACAATCCAGTTGTTGTGCCATAAAGTACTAACATCAGTACTATCATCAGATTTCTCTACTTTTCAAAAATGCATAACCCCTTTTGTTTTTTTTTTAATTATAATAATTTTTATTATAACTTTAAAAATCTTAAAATGTCATCAGCTGTCATATTTCTTGTATGCCTCTATTTTCAATTGCAACGTATTTTGTAATTACTTTTAGGAGCAGTCATTATTTTTTTGGTGCAAATGCAGGGTTGTATTTGAAATTATCTTGATTTAGCATAGGATTTCGAGATATTGAGTGGATTTACAGCCTGTTTTTGTAAATGTAAAATGTCCATTCGTTCGTCGATAAAACGAACGATTACTCATTTTGGTTTTCGCAAACAAATTACCGGTTGTAGTGAGTGAGAAATAGGAAAGAGCTTTTGGTATTCGTATTTTTTTGGTTTTTGTTATACAAAACGGTGCGTTATTTACGAACAAAAATGTCAAAAACAAACGAAGAGAAAATACCATTCATTTAAAAAATAATAATAAAGAAAACTATTTGTTCATTACAATTTGTGTGTTGTTAGTGAAAAGAACGTAACAAATATGGAAAATTCTGATGAAATATATAAGAAGAAATGGTTTGTAAAAAATTATATATCCCTATGAAATGTAAAAAATTATATTGAATTGTTTGAACCCCTAGCAACAAAAGGACAACGATTGCCCAATTCCAAAAATTGGTTGATCTCATGGAACTTTACCCACAATTAGCAACTGGCCGTCCTGTTTTCGGATCCAATAAATTTGAAGTGGATAACAAGTGGAATAATGTTGCTGTATCATTAAATGCCATAGGTATTCTCCTTTGGGGAATATTTTGCTTTTCTTTATAATTAAAATTAATTGCAATCGTACCAAACATTTTGAATTTTCTATTTTGACACTTTTTATGTAAAAAAAACTGTTTGTAAACAATAAACAGAGTTACCCTCATTTTGCAATAATTCTATTGGAAAATTTGCAACAAGATACCAAAAGAAACACTTTGGCACTAATGGTTAAAAACGAATGAAAAAGCTCAATCGTTTCTAGACGAAAGCTTTTACAATTATTACAAAAACCAAATTTTCGACGTATACGTTTTAATACGAACGATACGTGTGACTGCCGGAACAAATTACAAAAACAGGCTGTTAATTTTGTGTGGTAAATCGAGGTAACTTCACACGATTAAGAATTTAAATTGAGATAATGCACATTATCACGATAAACGTTGTACTCCAAACGCACCATAAAGGGCACTTTGTTTCAATTATTGGATATGATTATTTCAATGGATAAAATGTATGCGTAGAAGTCCAACAATTTTCATTATTCAATATTTGGATATATAGGATATCAATTGAACCGTTTGTTTTCAACTTCCTTCCACATTCTTATTTTTTTTCTTAAGGGTATATTACAAATTGGTCGTAGTTAATGCAGTAAAAAATTCACCACGACGGATCTTCCATTTTTGTACTGGAGACGTAAAGTAGTGAAGGCCAACATTTGGGATATCTATACATCAAATAACTAACTACTGTAATCACGTTTGAATCTCTACGCTACATAACAAATCGATTATCATTCACCGTAATTATCGAATTTTCCAACTAATTATCGATCAAATGTAAGACGAAATTCGACATACAGATCCCTATTTTGGAGACGATTCGTGATCGGTGGTTGTGTGCGTAGATAGAATTGTAATTTTTCAATTAAATAAATTAGCTGGAATAAATATAGAGAGTTCATAGTTCAGTGAATAGTGAAAATGCATCCGAACGGCGATACAGTGAAAGACGCATTCAAATCATAAGATGCAATTCTTCAGAATGGAATTCGGCCAAGTCTAATTGTCATCTCCATTTTTTTCATTTCTTTTGTATTTTGTTTACTTCTGACTTCTTTGATCGACATTCGTGGTATCGTTGTTGTTGTTGGTGGAGCTTCTGACGATTAGTGTTGTAGACTGCCCGATATATAAGACAACAAAGAAGACGCAGGAAAATCAACGATAGAGTGTGTAGTGTGTGAAGATACCAAAGCAGAAGAGGGTGAGTGAGTGTATGCAATTTGTGTGTGGGATATGAAAATTACTGATAATCATATTTGTCTATTTTAAATAAGGCAGAAGTACAAATCAGATCATAATGGTTTGACGTGGAACGCAGGATCGGCGAATGTGTTTGAAATACACAATCAATTGGGACTACGATGGCTCATATTAACAGTGGCACAGGCGGTGGCAACGGCGCAACAGCCAATACCCATGCTGTTGTTGTGTGGGAGTATGAATCTCGAGGAGGGAAGTGGTTGCCATACACACCGGCCGTGTCACAGCATTTGGAACGTGCGCATGCGAAGAAACTGACACGGGTTTTACTCAGTGATGCCGATCCGGAATTGGACAAGTATTATGTTAACGTAAGAACAATGACACTGGAAACCGAGGAGGGCACTGGCCGATCCACGGTGGGAGTTAGGCGAATGTTTTATACACCAAGCTCACCTGCTGGCAAGGGCACAAAATGGGAATGGGCTGGTTCTGTTTCGGGTGATTGGCATCCGTATAATATGGAGGTGCAGTGTATTATTGAGGACGCTTGGTCAAAGGTATGTTGTAATAGGTAATGGGAAATTTGAGTTTTCATACTAATGTGTGATTTTTTGTACAGGGTGAACAAACACTTGACCTCTGCGGAACATCAAGTCTTCCATACACAATTAACTTTTGCAACTTGACACAAACGCGACAACCAAGTGGCCCAATTAGAAGTATACGTCGTACACAGCAAGCGCCATATCCATTAGTGAAGCTTACAGCACAACAAGCTCAGCAACTAAATCGTAAGTAGATTACATAAAGATTATAAGTAAATTGAATTGTGCGCATATTCTTACCACTTTGTTCTTTAAGACCCATTACAAACTGCTTTGTGCTATTACATATTTTGTACAATATTTTAGTTTGGTTCACGTATAAATCGTTGAATAATTTTATATGTGTACATACCGATGTAAAAAAATGTTACTGATATTATTCCACTCATTGCAGCTCCCTCAAATTATATGGACTATGGACCAAAACGAAATAACACTTTACCGAAATTGTCAGCCAAAACACACTGTGTTGAGAACAAACACCAGACACAGCACATGCATCGGCTGGCTACAAATGGTGTTTTCTCTATGCCTTCATCAAGTGGAAGTCGACAACAACATGGACTTCCATCATCGTCTCATCCACTGCCACCAGCAACACAACCACAACAATCTCTATCGCATGCTTCACGTAAAACCGGAAAACGTAATGGTGAACTTTCCACTGCGAATCTCAGGCAAATTTTAAATAATCTCAATATTTTTGGAAGCAGTAGCTCCAAACAGCAATCAACATCTTCACATAATCACGGTATATTAGGGTCGTCATCTTCATCGGTTAGTAGTAACCAAGCAACGGGCAATCACTTACAGCCCTTTGCACACTCCAATAACGTGTTGACATCGTCAATGAGTAGTCACCACAGTCGTTGCTCTGAAGGTTCTCTCCAGTCTAAACATAGTAATCGTATGAGCATGCATCGTTCGCGATCACGGACACGAGCCTCTGACACCGACACAAATAGCATGAAATCGCACCGCAGACCAAGTGTGGACACGGTTTCCACCTATTTGAGTCATGAAAGCAAGGAAAGTCTGCGAAGTCGCAATTTTGCCATATCTGTCAATGATCTTTTGGATTGTTCGTTGGGCAGTGATGAGGTGTTTGTGCCGTCACTATCGCAATCGGCGTCTATGCAATCTGCGACTGGGTCATTGATAAACGAAAGGGCGCCTGCGCCTCCCCCCATACCGTCAGCCGGATCGGTGTGTGGTTCTGTGGCGGCGTCTGGTACGTCGTCGATTATTTCTCATTCGTCTGGAACGCAACAACAACCCATTGCTGGTTCGATTGTTGGCGTAGACCCTGCGAGTGATATGATCTCACGTTTTGTCAAAGTAGTTGATCCGCCACAGTGGCCAAATGCACAACCCTGTCCCATGTGCATGGAGGAGTTGGTGCATAACGCGCAAAATCCCGCCATTGCTCTTAGTCGGTGTCAACATTTGATGCACTTACAATGTCTCAACGGCATGATAATCGCCCAGCAAAATGAAATGAATAAGGTATGTAGAACGAAATGTTCTTAAATAGCACGCCCTAGGTCAGCAAACTTACTTGTCTTTATGTGTTCTAGAATCTCTTTATTGAATGTCCTGTGTGCGGTATTGTATATGGCGAAAAAATTGGCAATCAACCTAATGGCACAATGTCTTGGAGTATACTGAGCAAAAGTCTTCCCGGACATGAGGGTCAAAATACAATACAAATTGTGTATGAGTAAGTAGTCGATATTGATTGTAGTTTCTTTTTTCTCTTCTTCTTCAATAAACCAACGTATTTGTATGTTTGTAATTTACAGCATTGCTTCGGGTATACAAAGCTCTGAACATCCACATCCCGGTAGAGCTTTCTTTGCTGTTGGATTTCCTCGGGTCTGCTATTTGCCAGACTGCCCACTGGGCCGTAAGGTTTTGAGATTTCTCAAGATTGCGTTCGATCGTCGCCTTCTCTTTTCAATTGGTCGCTCTGTGACAACAGGGCGCGAAGATGTTGTCATCTGGAATAGCGTTGATCACAAAACTCAATTTAATATGTTCCCAGATCCCACATATTTACAACGTTGTATGCAACAATTAGTACATTTAGGAGTAACAGACTAAAGCCATTCATCGACACAATTCTTGCGCTTAACACACGTTCATTTAGAATTACGAAACACCCATTTAAGTGCAATTAATAATAAACAAACTGCGCAAGCTTCCAACAGTTTGAGAGACTCAAACTTTAAATCAAACTGATTACTTTGATAACATAATCTTTCCATATCAACACAACACTTGTCAAAATGTAGAATTTAATGGATATATATCATATGTTGAAAAAAATAACTTTTTTTAATTGATTTGTTTACATTGTGAGCAGAATTTTTCTAATATTACTGAGATTTCTAGCAAATCACAAAATGCAAATGTTGATTTTGATTTTTTCCAACATGTGTTATATCCATCACCATATACTGTATATACATGTGTGTTGTATACAACGATAGGAGACTAAAGTGTTTAATATATTTAAATAATTATCTACAACAAAAACATGCTTTAAATCATATTTAATGTCTGCTACATAGGCAATCAAATTACTTTATTTCATAAATAATCTGAACTATTTTTTATAGTATTTACACACACACACTTTGTCTTTTATTGTGATTAATAATGTTCTTCCATATTTTAAAAAGACTATGTCATTTATATAACAATTATTTACGAATATTTTTAATGTTTTATTATTTAACTATAGATTTTTGTAGTGCTAAGAAAGTTAAAAATACATATATACAAATACTACTAACATACACATTATTTTTCCCAAGTGTATGTATATCTGTAAGGACACGCATTACTACTACTCATTGAGTATTATTATTATGTATTTTATACTCTTTTTAATACATATATACATTTAAAAAATAAGTAGTTGTAATATTTTTTTGTTTACACAATTTTATTATTAGTTTTTAGATTTAGCGTAGAGAGAAAGAGATTGTGTATTTATCCACTTGGTTCAAAGTGGAACGAACTGTATAAATGCCATTTTGTTTCAAATGTCTTTAAATATTTTGTTTAAAGAAATTCATATTTTATTTGACAAATAAATATATTCCATAGTTTTTAATTGCAAATGAGAGCTATTCTGATTAATTAAATCATTTTGAGAAATGCAGTAGAGTCGCGAAGATTCGGTTCACAAAATAATTTCATCATTTGATGAAAGAAATGAAAAAAAATTGGACAATTTGGAAACAAATTGGGGTAAGTATATTGAACTGAAATAAATTATGTACATACATACAGTGAGTGTAATAAGTATTTTGCCTCAATAAAAATTTGAAAAAATTCCAATATATACGCCTAAAGCCAGCAAACTAAAGATGTAAAATGAATTATGTGTGATGGAATATGTTTGTGGACATATTTAGATCGTATTTCTGCAAGAATCATTGCGATAGACCGATTGGTCTCGAAGATATCGGCCGAAATCTATAACAACCCAAAAATGTTTATCACAAAAAAGTATTTTGCTTTTTAATATTATTTTAGAAAAAATATTACATAAAACACGTTTTGTCCTTTTATAGTTGCAATTGCAGTTAACCACATACTATAAGCGGTTTGTCTATGATTCCAATACATCACGGCATTTTTTCGTGGGTATTTTCTCACATTTACATTCAATACATTATCCATCAGTATTTCATTTAATATTTGGTATTTTCTCGTCCTAATCTTAAGATAAGAGTATTAAACATAGTCATTGCGGCTTCAAAACATCCCAAATATGTTTAGAATAATAAAAAAGAGGGTTTGCAAAATATAACGCGAGGACAGAACCTTAAAAACTATTAAAACCAAAATCCGACAAACAAATTATTGAAAAAAAATCGCGAAACCCAATTTTTCTGACTTTGAAATTTGTATGGTCCAGTAATATTGATCTAGGAACCAATATATGCAATGGAAATACCAATAAGGAGGTCAGATTCAAAGATATGAACAGTTCTAAAGCAATAGTAATAAAAAACAATACATGAAGTTGGGAGAAAACATCATTATTCGTCAAATCATATTGTCTTTTGAAAAACTGTGGTTGCTGGTGGCGAATACGCATTCTATATTTTATCTCCGATTAACACCATCAGTTGCGAATAAAATGCAGTAGGGAATAAACGGTTCGATCTATTTATTTTCGAAATAAGATGTATTTCTATTGCCAGAAAACCGTCCATATTTTTGAATCTGACCTCCTTATTGCTATTTTCATAGTATATTTTGGTTCCTAGATCAGTAATAATGAACCATAAAGTTTTCGAAGTTAGAAAAATGGGGTTTCGCGATATTTTTTTAAATAATTTGTTTGTCGGATTTTGGTTTTAATAGTTTTTAAGGTCCTGTCCTCGCGATATATTTTGTAAAACCTCCTTTTTATTATTCTTAACATATTTGGGATGTTTTGAAGCCGCGACGACTATATTTAATACTCTGATTTTTAAATTTTGGACGAGAAATTACGAAATATTAAATGAAATATTGCTGGAGAATGTATTGAACGTAAATGTGAGAAAATACTCGCGAAAAAATGCCGTGGTTTATTGGAATCGTTGCCAAATCACTTATAGTATGTCGTTACCCGCAATGGTAACTATAAAAAGACCAAACGTGTTCTATGTTACAATTTTTTCTAAAATAATAATAAAAAGCAAAATACTTTTTTGTGATAAACATTTTTGGATTGTTATATATTTCGGCCGATATCTTCGAGATCAGTAGGTCTTACGCTGTGATTCTTGCAGAAATACGATCTAAATATATCTACAAACATACTCCATCATACATAATTCATTTTACATCTTTAGTTTGCTGGCTTTAGGCGTATATATTGGAATTTTTTCAAATTTTTATTGAGGCAAAATACTTATTACACTCACTGTATGTTTGATTTGAAAAATTAGGGAATTATTGATGTGTAATTTAGATGCGATCAACTTAATCCTCATAATACTTATCATTAAAAATATTGGTAATTCTTTAGATACAAGATTACTAAATTATAGACCTAGCACAGTTGTTGTGTTACAGCCCAGCATGTTCGGAAGTTGCAAATTGTGAAAAAGACGATCAGCCTTATTCTGGATATTCGCTAGGAAGATATCTCGCATCTAAAAATTTCATAATTTTTTTTGACTTTTCCACTATTAAGCGGCTCATCAGGCAAATTTTGCTATGTAGTTTTTCCATAATTTTTAATATTTTTTCTGTGTAAGGATCGGTCCTTACACAAAATGTCTTTATTTCGCCTCCAAATTGTATCAAACTCGGATTAAATATTACTTATTGCCTTTATTAACTTCGTGGCAATATTTGGTTGATCATGCATAGTTATCAATAGGATTTCAAATGGCATTTTATTTGTTGTTTTTGAGTTAAAAATATGCATACGACCATATATAATATTCAAAATCATCATAGAATAAGTATTGTTTAGATACTTCTCATAATAATATTTAATACTTATATTTTTGTACTCAGCTCACTTTTAATCCATTCGCACAAAATGTCATCACATTCTCTCACTCCCTGTAATCCAGAATAACAAATTTTTTTCCCAAAGCGAATTTTTTCTCTTTCGAATTTGATTCAGAATAAGGGGAAAATGCGAAAAAAATTCGCTGCGAGTAGTGATTCAGAATACCTTTTAAGGGAAGAGGGAAAAAATTCACGGGGAATTGATGTCCAGAATAAGGCTGTATATATATTTATTGGATTACTGACTGTTCTGTGCAATATTTTCACATCTGCTTCCTCATGTCGTCATGCCTTCTAAAATCTGACCTAAAATCATAAGTGGAAACGAAATATTCCCAAGGACACCAATAATGTTTTCCGAATATTGAAATTGTTTACCATTGACAGTTCAAGATTCCATAACAACAATATATGTATGTGTTTGTGTAAGTATCCTTCATTACGGCCAAAGGCTTATCAAGGCTTTCCTTGGAAATTTAATTTATTCGGAAATAACAAAATGATTGCACAAGATTTCACCATTTTTATATTTTGAATTAAGCAAAAAATATACATACACTTTATTGGAAATGTATTCCTAGAAATTAAAATTCGTGACAGTAAACTAACCTGGTTTTGACCAAATTTGAAAATTTGGGAGATGGCCCTGTGTGTAAGCGACGTATGTAACCGCGTGCCACTGCTATTGATGGCATCATAGCGAACAGCATCGACAACATACATCATGCGTAAACAATAAAACTGCAAAGTTTATTGTTTGTTTGTCACAAACAAATATATCTATGCACAAACGTCAAGATGCTCATCGAAGTGTATATTGGGGTGGGGTGAATATGCAAATACTATTTTCTATTGTTTACATAGTCACGCAGACTGGCCACATCTGACAGTGCGATGAGTGCCATGGAATTTATAAGCATCAACACACTGTTCAAAATGTGACAAGATAGACCTGTTGATGATCTACTTAGCACAGAATACCTTTATGATTCGAATTACAAACCCTCGCTCGTATATTTTTACATTTATTATACATTACCAATGTAATTATTTATTTACATAATTATGTTCAAATTTAATTCTTTTCAGATTTAGTTATATCTCAATAATATATATATGTACTTCCGATTTCATGTATACGAGTCATCAGATTTGGGTGTCAATGCAAACTCATTTGCATTTGACGAATTTAGCATCAAATGTTTATTATCATTGATATTTTTATAGTTTCCATATATACATGCGATCATGTTATGTTTATCCCACCCTAATATACAGTAGTGTAAGCGGGGAAAACGAGTTTAAACCATTTTCCGAATAAAATACAACTAAGTAGAATACAAAACAGAAAATAATGTTAAATGTGCGTATGTAAGTAAGCAAAACTTATTGTTTATGCACATAAAAACAGCAGCAACAACATACAATGCTACATTTTGAAGGTTATATAATCGACAATAATAAAACATATAGTTTTTGCTGCTACTGAACGATCCTAGTTGAAACCGAAACTGAAACAACGTCAGCTTGATATTATCTAAACCCGATTGTAAAACATTGATGGGTTCGTAACGAATTCTCATGCTGTAGAGTCCCAGGCACCGAGCCTAAATGCTTTTACAAGTGCAACTGTAACAACAGTTTATCGCGTTTTCTCGATAGTGCCGGATGTGTCTTAAAAAATCAATCAATAGTCTCCTCTCTTAAGTGGTGTTCCAGTTGTGTTCTCAGTGCAAATAAAAAAAAATTTGAAAAAAAAACAAATAAGCAAACAACAAAATTGCAAAAATTCAAATAAATAATTAAAAATAATCCCAACGTCCATATACTTTTATTTTGGAATCTTGGCTGAGAAATATTTTGACTTTGCAACAAATTCATCATCATTGTGGGTACTCCGATTACCACCACAAACCACAATTCATTCAATTTTCACAGCCGTTTTATAGGGAAAAATTAAACAAAAACAACAAAAACAAATTGAAAATACGTTAAATAGAATCTTCAATAACCGCCATTTCTGATTGACAATAAACACAGTTTATCGATCGATCGAACGAAGGAACATTTTCTGAAGCGAACCACCTCCAACAGAAGCAGCAGCAGAAGTGGGCAGACAATAAGGTTTGATATTACAATTTAATTTATTTCCTGCAAATTCGGATTGATTTAAGGAAATCGTAAATAATTTTGTAATTAATTAGAAATGAATTTAACGTTATTGTGTGTGTGTGTTAAAATCCATACTGGCGTTAAAGGAATAAGTGAGTGAATTTTTTCAATTATATTCTGCATTCTAAAAACCGACCAATAGTAAATATTGAACGCTGAACCGATATCATTGATATAAGTGCAGTAATGCAGTGGAGTTGGATACATATTAAAGTCAGTATTTAATCAAACATTAAACTATGATTGAATGAATACAAAGATGCGTGTTTGAGCTTGATGATTTTTGTTTTGTTATTTTTAAAGGATCAAGGATTTGTGGGTATATTTAGTTTAATAGAGAAGTAAATAGAGAAGTTGTCTACATTTTAGTATTTTCAGAATACATATAAATAGGTTATGTAAAAATATTTCGATGTGCAAAGTTTGGATTAATTGCGATTTGGATCATACGAGATTTACAATTTTTCAAACCACTTACTCTTTGCGGGAATGTACCAGAAGGTGTGGGTTGACTTGATCTAGCTTTGGTAAAAATATTTAGTACGATGGACAACGTTTTTATTCAAAACGGATATTCAATTCCTTTTTGCAAACTGGATCTTTTTTTATTTAGCTGACTTGTTACAGAACGGTTGTTCCATAAGCCGAGCTTAAAAAAGATTTCCAAGCGCGCCGGTCTTGTGCGCAAGTCCACCAATTTGGAAGACCACGTTCCAAGATGTTGTTTTCTACCTGGTCTTTCCATCTAATTCGTGGCCTTCCCCTTCTACGGGAACCATCAGTAGGCTCATTTTTATATGCCTTTTGAGCTGGGGCCTTTTCATTCATCCGCACAACATGGCCTAGCCACCGTAGTCGCTGCAGCTCAATACGACTGACTATGTCGACGTCCGCGTATAAATTGTAAGGCTCGTGGTTCATTCGACGCCGATATTCACCGTCGACGCAGATCGGTCCGTAGATATTTCGGAGAATTTTTCTCTCAAACACCCCAAGAGCTGCCTCATCTGCGCAAGTACCCATGCTTCTGATCCATATAATAGCACGGGTAGTATCAGCGTCTTGTAAAATGTGAGTTTGGTCAGGCGGGAGGTGGCCTTGTTTCTAAACTGCTTACTTAGACCATCGTAGCATCTGTTGGCCATCAAAATCCTTCTCCGAATTTCAAAACTAATGTCATTCGTTTTATTTATGGCGGTACCAAGGTATATAAAGTCTTTAACTACCTCGAAGCTGTAGTTCTCAAGTCAAAATATTATTTAATGTGGGGAATCTTGAAAAAAAGAATACTATTTTTGTAATGAGATCCTTTATTTGGAATCGAAAATTAAGTGAGCTACACTGGTGGCCAAAACTAAAGCAACTGAAATTGCAAACTGAATAAATTACCTGTAACTTTTTTAAAACTAAAGTTTTTGTGAAAGTTTTTTTTTTACAAATAAATAGGTAATTTATTCATTAAAAAAAACAAAAAATATAAATGCCAAATATATTTTGGAATAAAAAATATTATATGGAAATCTAATTTAACTCAATTTTAGATTGATCAAAACTAAAGCAACTTTTTGATTTTTTCTTATAAATATGTAAATTTTGCTAGTAATCGACGGCATAACCATTATTTTTGATTACGACAGGGCACCTACGAGGCATTGAATCTATAAGGTGCTCAATTTGATCCTTGGGTGTACTATTCCTCGCATCCTGAACCTTTCAGAAAAGGTTATTTTTGTTAGTTTGAGAAACTCTTTTTTATTTTTTTATAGGATAAAGATCTGATGATAGTGCTGGCCATTATGAAACCCTGATTTTTTACACCCGCAACCAATTGTTGACGATTTTTTTCAGAAATAAAAAACTTTCTTGATAGCATCCAGGCATGTGTTTGTTTCTAGCATTTTTTATATTTTCTTTGCAATAAGTCAAAATTGAAATCCAGAGAAATGTTAATGAAATAAAATCCACTTAAAAATGATCTATAAAAATTGAAATAGGTGTAGGAAACATTGCAATCCCATTAATTTTTTTTAAACGAATCGGAAGCTAGCCATAGAACCAATATCAGGTCCAGAAGTTCAATATCCCCGTATAGATGGTGATATATTAATATGTCAGGAGGAGTGGGCCTAGATGTTTCATTATAAAACATGATAGAACATTAGGATGCGTATTTTGGATCAACACTGAGACTACCATAGTGGCCTTTGAGTATTTCCTCACGACCTTTAGGTGTTTCCTTGATCCACATACAAATAGCCCTCCCATATATACCTTACACGACTATGTCGTGGGGGGATCAAGGTTCACTCTGAAATTTTACATGTTGGTCTGCATCTGGTCTAAGTCGATGGAAAATTATCGGTAATATTTATGGGGATCGTATAAACCTAAAACTATCATTTTGTCTGTTTATTCTATATTATTCGCTATAGAGACCACAATTATGACCCGAACGTCATGATTTTACACGGGAAATGCGATCTGTCCAACGTTTAAAAATGTCTGTTATGATGATGATTGATGAACATTTAGCGCGTTGAGTGAACTTAGACTTTTGTGTGAAAAACACCAGAAAGTTGTCATTTTACCCAAGAAGAACTATTGACCATTCAAAGGCCGTAAAACTCGCTAAATTTTGGTCAGACTCCAGAAATTAGTATTAAAGTTGTATAAAGGAAATCTATGTTGGTCATGTTGGAAGAATGCATAACAATGTATTATATTCATTTAAATTCGTTCCTTAAGCCTTTATGTAAAGAAATATCTAAAAAAAACGATCCGATTTGTATGTCATTTATCATGAAATCGAAAACAAGTTATTTTATGGATATGAAACGTAAATTATTCTACCAATGTAAATATGTATGTACGTTGTGAATTCACATACATATATAATATTTTAATTACTACAAAAACATTGCCATTAATTTCATGTGATGTTAACGGTACTCTTTTATCTGCAACAAAGTTCCATTGCTGTTCACTCAATTGTAAATCCTCTTCAAGGCAAATATGGATTTAATTTCTGTTATATTTGACCATTTGTCAGTTTCATTGTCACATTTTTTGTTTTGTTTTCTAAATGCGATTCGATAGATGTCAACACTCCCTGATTTCCCGATCACCTCGAACGGAACAAAACGGTTCCGACACAGCAAACAACAACAAACTTGCAATATTGCCCTGAATCAAAGTAATGTCAAGCTGGCTGGCAGGCAGTCAGTCAATCAGTTGACACAATTTATGTAATTTTTGTTCAGGTCGTGCTTTTGACGCAACTAATGAAGGACGAGCAATGTCAGTGATATTTAATGTGAGCGGCGTCGGCGCCTCCAGCGAAGTATGTGTGGTGTGTGTGCGTGAGCTTGTGCGTCAGAGCTTTTGTGAAGTTTGTTATTTATGGACACATTGGTGGCACAAACCCAAGATGATGAACGTTGATGATACAAAGTGCGACAATATCTCCCTACCCCCAATTCGTACAAACGACCCGCCAAGCAAACGACTGACACTTAAGCTGGTGCGCATGCGCACTTATCACAGCACACAGGTTTTGGTCATGGGGGCTTTGAAGAATAATTCCTTTTTTGGAAAACCAGTGAAAACATGTTACACACAAAAATTGTAAATCTTTTTATTGAGGCCTGTTTATTTTTTTTATAATATTATTTATTTTTTTTTGTGTTTTTTTGCATTAGCTTCGTCGTTCCATTTACGCAGCGCCAATGAAAATGCATTGCAATGCAAGTTGAAAATAAAACTGCACAATTACATCATCATGATTTCATCGGTTGTTCGTTCGTTCGAACTGCCACAATGCCAATTTCCAATTTGAATAGGAATTTAAATCTAGAGTTGTCTTGAACATTTTGTTTGAAGTCGAAGTACTATGTGATGATACAAATACTTAGTTTTAAATGCTAAATATTAACCAAAGATTGAAATAGTCATACAAAACCCCATATCCTTTAAGGGTTTCAATATAGTTATTAATTGGCCTATGTTATTCTAGTAATTTGGAGTGTAATGTTAATTACAACAAAAAATGTTTTCTTCCTTACAGGTCTATAATATGGAGTTGGATACGGATCTAAGTAAAATTCAAAGTGAGGAATTGCTAAGAAAAATGGTGAGTTTTATGCATGAAATAATGAATGCACGGGGAGCTATGTGGTTGTTCGTGCTTATCCCCCCCCAGCCCTAAGACTAATGATATATACTTTGATACCATATAGAATGGGTATAATCGACTAAATATTGAATTGAGGTTTTTATTAAATTAAGGCCATATGAAGTTATAGATATGAAGGTACATAATTTTTTGTTCTGTTGGAACATATGAGCAATTTTGGATTTACAGTTTTCTTGTGACAGATCAATAAGTTATTTGCATTTTTTGTAATCCACATAAATTCAAAAAAATCATGTCCAGTTCAGTCAGATGCTCACTGTTTCTTCCGACTGCAATGGTGTGGTGCATCATGAATTCTTGGCACTTGGTTTGGTAAATACATTAATTTTTTTTGAAAATGTTGAAACTTGTGGCAGGTTCAAAATATTGTGTGAGTCGATAATCTCAATATTCGATGAGCAAAATTGGGACCAAATCCAGATCATCGATATTCCGGAAGAAACATTACGATGTGTGAATCTAAATTAATTGATTCTAATCCCTTTCATTAACACTCTAATATTGTGATTACTTTTATGTGAAAGTTCAAATTGAAAATGATTTGCCACTTATGATCCAAATCCATTTGTTAATAAACAAATCGAATAAAACAATTCACGATGAAGCTATAATTTGTTGCATGTAATGAGACTACCATCTGTTGCAAGCACATACACATATATACGTATATATGTAAAATATTCCCAAAACGATAATAACTGCATCTGCATGACATAATATCGAACAGGGGAGTTGAGCTGGTGGTAGGTACGTCGCAGCTAGGTATCAATTGAAAATAATTGAAATCAATTACCTTCACGCACACGTCCAATTCAAATTCAATTTGAATGCCGCTTGAACTTGAATAATTTACGGTTGTTTAACAATTAGTGGAGCAAGAAAAAAACAACAACAGCAACAACTACCCCTCTATAAATCTCCATTGATTCATTCATCGTCATATACATAAATACCAATACTCTCTCATAGACATGTACACATTGATATGTGTGTCACACGTTTGCCATGGCTTGAGATTTGAGATGAGGCATCAAGGGGTTCCTCACCACCAGCAGCAGCAACATCTTCATCTTCTCCGCATCATTTCGCCAGACAGATGAATCGAAACGACTCATTAGTCCGACCCACGCTTTGGAATTAATATCGATGGCAACAACAACTCCAACAAATCAAACTGTGATTAGGGCGGTAGACAATTTGCCGTTAAATGATTCCACATAAATTCAAATGTGCACGAAGAATTCTTTGCATTTATGGAACAAATCGATGATCATTGATTCCCATTAATCTCCATAAATGGAAGCTCTCATAAAAAATATGTATCATTTTTGTTATGGCAGACATTTCTTTTGAAACAGAAAAACCGATGACTATATTTCTTTAGATTCGAAGAAGACATTTGTTGTACCCTACACCACTGTGTGTGGGATGTGCATTATAAGTTTGTTTGGTGCTATACATTGTAAGACCCCAGAAGAAATTTCGTACATAAATATACCACTATTGATGTTACTGACGTTAAATGGTGGGAAATAATCGCGTTTTCCCACCATTTAACGTCAAGGCTTCAGAATATCGAAAATGGGATAAGACATTTATATGGGAGAATATCAAAACATGTACATTGTACATTGCTAAATCGAGATAGAATTCTGTTCTGAATATTTCGTGGTTTTATAAATGGAGTTTTATAATACATCGGAATATCAATCCGCCTGTTTTAAATTTATATTTATTTCAATCTTGGGCAGTGTTGCCAATTTAGCACTTTTAGTGCTAGATTTAGCACTTTTTTAACTCGTTTAGCACCGAAAAAAGTGATCTAGCATATTTTTTAGCACTTTTATTTTTTCACGATTTTTATTTAATGTTGGGTATTTTGGTTTCATTCACAATGACGCATTGAAACTTACCTATATTTCAAGCTATTAATTTGATTTTCCCATGTAAAAAAAATGTCCGATAACATTTAAATAAGTAAAATAGCCCTAAAGTTCGGCCGGCTCATGTCAATAATAGACCTAATTCGAACATTTTTTTTTAATTACACCCACTTCGGTTCTTAAAGTGTAAAATTACCCAAATAGGATGGAAACTTTTAATGGGAAATAGGTCCCAACATTGACCTATGTAGAACATAGTCCGCATAAATATGTTCTATCATACGAGAATGCAGCTAAAACCTTCAAAGTATCGAAAATGTGGTAGTACTTTGATATGAGGGCTATGTACAAATCTTGATCTAAATTGATAATTTTCTTTATTTTCCCAAAATGTACCGAAAACCAGGTGGTACCGTTATATAGTACGTATAGTAGTATATAGTACGGTATACATTTTTCGTAGGAAGTTGTTCCATCTCCTTAGAATCATAAGTATTAAATTATGGTACATTCGGTTGAAAATGCCAAGATGCCGAATAATGGGAGTACCGCTCTCTGGTGTGTACCCTGAAACATGGACCAACATTGATAATTTTTAGTAGAAAGATTTTCTGCAAAATATAAAATTGGAGCCATTGAAGCCTTCAGCCGTGTCCACAGGATCAAAAAAAAAAAAAAAAAATGTATAAAAGAGGTATTGCTCTACGGAGGCTAAACCGAAACCCATATGATAATTTTGGAAATTATATTTATCACAAAAAGAGGGCTCCTCTAAAAATAAACCAATATTGATCATTTTTAGTAGGAAGACTTCCATGGAGAACGCAAAATACAAAATTACAGCAAATTATGTAGGAAAACGTAACCATGATCTTCAAAATGGAATATGGAATGGAATATTGACTGCCCTAAAAATGACCAACATATCCTATTTCCAATACCAAACCTTCTTGGAGTAGTGGCAATGTATGTGCACAATTTCAAATTCTGACGACGGCTAAATTGACATAGAATTTTATTCTGATTAAGAATAAATGGGGTCTCAGGAGAATATTTGGAGGTGATGGAAACAAATTTAATATTCACCCACCCGCCTTGTGAAGCGTATAATGAACTTTAAAGTAATATATATCTCATTATTGTGTAAAAACATATTTCTCCCTATTAATTTTTTAGCACTTTTTAAATTTTTTAGCACTTTCTAGCATTTTCTTAAATAAAATCTAGCATTTTTCATCAACAAAGTTTTGGCAACACTCATCTTGGGTAACAATAGGTTCGTTCGTTTACTCAATAATTTGTACGAATTTGTACAAATTATTACAAAATGTTGTTCGTTTACCCAAAAGTCCAGTAAAAGAGAGTGAATTGAGAGAGCAGATTTGACAGTTGTGTTACTGAGTATTTGCAAATTCTTACAAGGAAAATTTACTCAGTAAGAATTTTCTTGTACCATCAGCTGATATTTAATCAGCTGTTTTGTTATGTTTTGTAAACAAACAAAAAATTGTTCTCAAGAAAATTGATTGTTTTGTGAATTTTATTTTGATTTTGTATCATTAAATACCAAAATGGATGAAGAAAACGCAAGTATTTAAATATAAGAGTAATAAAAGTAATTGGCGAACGATTTTTTAGGTTCCAAATCGAAACAAAAAAGTGTGCATCCCTAACATGTCTGGAACACCATCGGTTATGTCCACCCCCATATCAATTGCAGATACAGGAATAACAGGTCACAACCCTTTTAAGTGTTTATGGGGAACAAACAACATCAATTTTCCGCTTGTTATCCATTTTTCTAATAAAAATGCTGTCTTATAGTTTGCGCCAATTTGTTTGTTGTTTTAATCAGCTGTGTCGAAACAATCTTTTTACTGGATGTTGTTCGTTTACTTTTTGCAGTTTTCTCTCTTGAAAAGGAAAAATTCGTATTTACTCTCTGCAAATTCTTACTGAGTAAATATTACTGGGAAAGTAAACGAACGAACCTAATGAATGCAAAAACATATGGGTTCATATTTTGGAATAGCCTCCGACCGAAACAGCAGTAATTTCGCATATTGAGTTTTGAGAGGGCTGAAATGCATAAATGTTTGTAATATGGGCCGTGTTTCGAACAGGTCCCAATTTTTAAAAGTGGTCCACATTACTCGTATTTTTTAAAAAAATATTTTTTTCTATTTAAAAATAAATTTCGGCTTAAAAAATAAAACACACCCATTGTAATTATAGCTAAACGTATGTTTTTGTTGTAGAAAATAAAGAACCAGATAACTTCTTTATATTTGAGGAAAAACAACGTTTTCGACTATTGTGCTAAAAAATATTTCAATCACATATTTGCAGTCAGAGCTTAACAAAATTTTCAACATTGCAATTATGTATCACTAATTAGGAAAACATGTATCAAAGCGGCGTTATCATATTTCAAGCATTTGGTCCCCATTAGACTCATAGTCCACATTACCCGAAGTTATTCTATGTATCTAGCGACAACATCAAATTGACTCTTTTTTACTTTTTTTTTAAATTAATAATTGGCATAGGGAATTCGTGCATCGACTCAATGCACATGAAGCTTCTATTGTCATATAAGTTATATTAAACAAATTCAGCTTGGAGTTTCTAAGAAAAATCCAAAACATTGTACTCTCTTTTATTATAAAGAAGATTGTCATTTGATTTTGTCATTGCAACATCCTCCGCTTTAAAGAATTAATTTAATACATTTAATAATAAAACAAATCATTATTAATTAAATTTCGAAGCATTTCAAATTAAAGTCACTGTGTGTGCGGCGTTAATAAATTACGAATAATTTATTATGATTTTATGATAGCTTAGAGAATATACCATCAGCTGATTTAATAAGCAAATCGCCAAAGGCTTCGGTCACACCAACACATTAACAAAATAATGACGTAATTGTTTATAAGCTGCTACAAAATATTAACTTTATGATTCATGACTTATGGTTTATAATCTGATATGCATATTTTTTTTCTCGAAGCTGTAATTTGATTGCAGTTCACAACAAAAACCGATCAAGCA